ATCGGTAAGTTTAGTTCTGAACCAAAAAAATCAAAATTTAAAAAATCTTTTTTTCCTCACACCTTATGTAATTAATGTATTAAGGGTATTGATGAGCAGTTTTTTTTTTTTAAAACCATTAATCCTTAAATATAATATATATAAATATAAAAAAATATTTGTTATAATCATATTATAATATATATAAAAGTTAGGAGGATATATTTTGGCCCTGAGAAAACTCGAAAAAAAAAAAAAAGCTCTTTCTAGGCAATAGTCGAACACTTTGTTTCACCTTGCTACCTTTCTTAATCATCTGATCGTTCCTTCTGATTAAATTTTCCGTCTTGCCAAACACCGGATGATTTTCCCTAGAAAAACTCACTTGGATACAAAATGAGGAGACCACCCTAAGTGCTTGTCTCTGAATAGTGAGATTCTACCCAGAGGACAACCATATTAGGGAGTTTGCATTATTGAGGTACGTTTCTCTGTTTGTGTTCTCTTGCTTTTCTCAGTGAGCTTGAGCGTTGGAGTGAGCTGGGGGAGGAAAACACAGGGAGGAGAACAGAGAGTAGGGAGGGGGATTTGGGAAAGCTGAATGTGATGATTTCTTGAATTCCACATATTCGATGAAATGCTTAAGTGAATTTCTTAATTGTGAACCTGGCTTCCATAACCTGACCTTTTTTCTTTACACATTCAGTGGAATGAGTTCAGATGATTCTTTTGCCGAAGATACTCTATTGATAAGATGATATTTATTTAGGATAATAGAGTGTAATATCAGGAATTGGTGATTATCCTGTGTATATTTCCACTGTCATGTTTCTTTCAGTGAGTCTCGATCCATTTGGTTTTAAGTAAACAGGAACTGTATTCAATACTCTTGGTTGATTGATCACCTAAGTACTTGTTTGAATTTTGATGGGTTTACTAGTTATTTGATGGAAGTTGGTGAAATATGGTTACTTAACTTGTATTTCTTCATGGATAGACAATGTCTACTCCTATGGGTTTGAGAGTTTTTTCCATGTTTACTTGAGGATTGTTTTCGGGGAATAAAATTCTGGATGGTAATAAAGATTTGAAGAAGTTTAGGGAATCTAAAAGATGTAATCTCTTTTTAACTAGTTTAGATGTTCTTGTGTGTTTTTAGGAATTTTTTAAATTAACTTTTTAGGTTTAATTGTTAGTAAACCCCTAATTAATCAAGCTACATCGCAGAATGTGTTACCTACCCACAACCATTATTTACTATTTTTCTTTACTCATATCTCTAGGTAGATAACTGCTAATTTTGATGTCTTATCTCACACTTAATTGGATCATTGATTGTTCCCTGAATATAGTCAGATTTTGAAGCATGTCAATATGACTGTTGTTACATGATGCAGCGCATCCTCGTGAGTGTAAGAGATAAATATAAAATGATGAATTTATGTGATATTTTCAAATGTCATTTTTTTTCCATTCTTTAAGGTGTATCTACATTTCAACATTTGCTACACGATTATGAAGCTACAGCTCTTTGCATTATATCTCTTCCATGGGAGCATTTGATCTTTTCTTAGGGTTTTTTTACTTCTTTTTGGTTCTTTGTGCTACTATCTTCAAAAGTAATTAAAGGATTAATAGATTGAAGGTTAAACTTTACGGACTTGTAGAACTTAGTTGAGAAGCAGATGTGGTCACGCTGTGCAAAACCTGTTTGGCATTTGAAAACCTTGAGAAGATCTTCAAAATCTCCATGGTTCTTGATGCCTTTGTTTTCTTTCTCAGACTGCACCCAGAAGAAGGCAAAGGTTGCCCCTTTACAGGTGCTTCACCTTTTTCTATCAAACTACCTATGCAATACAGCCATTTGAACAAATTTTCTTTGCTTTTATTACATGTTTACATCTTTTGTCTTTTTCTTTTTCATTCCTTTCTATGTTTGGACCAATTTCCAGGAGACAAGGATGAGAGACAGGTTTACAGTATATGCTAAAGGAGGTGATGGTGGTGGTGGTTGTTCCAGCATCCGGCGCAGCCGAACTGATCGTCGTGGAAGACCAGATGGTGGGTTTGTACTTCAGCAGTGATAAACCAAAGAAGAAAGTTTTTGACCTTTTTTCTTATTTCAATTTTTTGTCCATGGATATTTCTGTAATTATTTTTATTTTGGCTTTTAAACATAATTACATAATACAATGAAATTCATGCCAAGCTGATCAAATTAGTACAATGAAATTCGCGAAAGTGGTTATACCAACTTTTATCATATCTAAGTTGAACTAATGCAGGTGGAAATGGTGGAAGAGGTGGTGATGTGATTTTAGAATGTACACCTACAGTTTGGGACTTTAGCAGTTTGCAACCTCACATTGTATGTCACTCTTCTCTTCCCCTAATACTCTTATCCTTGTAATGATGATAAGTTGAATTGAGTAATTGTTGTTGTTGCGACGTGTAGAAAGCAAATAGAGGGGGACAAGGAACCTCGAAGAATATGATAGGAACCCGGGGAGAAGATAAGGTTACTGTTTTTATACCTGCTCTATTTACATGAAAGTTTATATCATTCATTATTTCATTTCAGTCATATAGTTCACCTCCTGTAGTTCTGCCTTGTTACAATTCAAATATTTTGATTATTTTTGTGACAATCGGTCCTTGTGGTTTCATTTTTGTTACTTCAAACGATTTTGTTTTGAGCTATTATCTTTTAGTTTTTTGTTTCTTTTATTCAATTTTGATTTATTCAACCTTGAACTTTCACGTGTTTGATTTAAAAATTTAGACACGTGCAGATGTCATTTAAAGAATTTTACAGTTTTATAGAAAATAACAAAAAATTAAATCACTATTAACGAATTGTCACAAGAAAAAAACAAAGTTTGGATGGTAATGAGATTGAACCGACAGGAGGTGAAACTGTATTTTGTCATCCATTTTCTTTGTGTAGCCATTTACTTGTGATAAGTATGCAGTGGTTACCGGAGTTATCTTGTTATATAGGTTGTCCAAGTACCAGTTGGCACAGTGATACATCTTGTAAGGGGCGAAATGCCATTTATAGTTGAAAAGGCTTCGTCGACAGAATTAGATCCCTGGGAACTTCCAGGGACACTTGCTGCTGATCCATTTGACTTCAACCAACATAAAAACATGTCTAAGAATCCAAGCATGCTAGCAGAGTTGAAGTCCTTGCATGATACTCATGACAAATTATATCCCACAGAAAAAATGGTGGAAGAATCAGCAAGCATTAGAAAGGCTCCTCAAGCTGATGTGGAGGAAAGCATGGAACAAATACAGTATAATGTTGCGGAACTAAAAGAGCAAGGTCAGAGAATAGTGATTGCTCGTGGAGGGGAAGGGGGTTTGGGTAGCATGTGTGTTCCAAATGCTTCAAGGAAACCCGGGCTTAATAAGATTGGGATCCTTAGGGATGGGACATCTGATCTACAAATGTCAGAGGATGATCAATCCTCCGTAAGGGCTGGTTTGCCTGGTTCTGAGGCTGTTCTTGTTTTAGAACTCAAGAGCATTGCTGATGTTGGTCTTGTTGGAATGCCAAATGCCGGTAAAAGTACTCTTTTGGGGGCTCTATCGAGGGCTAAGCCTCGAGTAGGTCATTATGCCTTTACAACTCTGCGCCCCAACTTAGGAAATGTAAACTTTGATGACTTTTCAATCACGGTTGCTGACATTCCGGGACTTATAAAGGGTGCTCATCAAAATCGTGGCCTAGGGCATGCTTTCCTGCGGCACATTGAACGCACAAAGGTTTTGGCTTATGTGGTGGACTTGGCTGCAGGATTAGATGGTAGAAAAGGGATCCCACCATGGGAACAACTAAGGGATTTAATCTTAGAACTGGAGCACCATCAAGAGGGCTTATCTAATAGGCCATCTTTAATAGTGGCGAATAAAATTGACGAGGCAGGATCTGAGAAAGTCTACCAGGAACTGGAAAGAAGAGTGCAAGATGTTCCTGTCTATCCAGTGTGTGCTGTCCTGGAAGAGGGAGTGCCGGAGCTGAAAGCTGGTCTTAGGATGCTTGTAAATAATGGTGGGAAATCACAGACACTCAGTTTAGAAAAAATCAATGTTGACTAGGTTGTTTTTTGTTTTAACTCTTAGATTTGGAAATGGTTTTCACATAAAATTTTGGTCAAATTTACTTTTATGCACCATATTGGGAATGCAAAGATCAATGTAACAATCGGTTTTATTTATAACTTCCAGCCATTTATCGAATAATCTTCTTGTCAATTAGAGTTCTGGTTTCTGATTTATTTATTTAGAAGCATTATACTGTCTTTTGCATCTGGGATTAAATTATTTTCTAGCCTGACTAAAATCAAGTAATCTGCACTAGAACTTGATCATGTGTTAGGTTCATTATGGTTGTCAAATTCTCTATCTTCGCTTTCTGGTTTTTGTCCTGTAACTGGAAGAACTTGCGAGACGGAGGAATTTGCACAATTTCTGTTTGATAAATAGATCGGAAGACCCGGATGAGAGTTTTTTTCCTCCTTCTGGAGTTGTTCTTCCCCTGTAAAGTTACTAAAGAACAATATGAAATTTTGAATGGTGATGACTCTGAAAGTTTTGAATGGTTTTATTCTATGACTTTTCGTGATGATATGGAGAATCAATTCGAGTTTAAGTGGTGGTCGGCCATGAGAACTCTTTCTACTCCACTGAAATAAACTTTAGTTAATCTAATTATGAAAATAATACCTAATTAATTCTTTTTGCAATCTAAAGATTCCAAAAGGGTGTATCAATAACCAACAATTTAGTGTATGTAATTTGAATGGTCAAATCAATCTTATCGCTCAAGCTATCAATTTGGGAGCAAATTTCAGAATTCATTTTCTTTTGAACGAGATTATAAGAAATTTATATTGCCGAAAATTTATTTCAACCTTAATTGTCTGTTTTTTTTTTTTTGTTTTCGAAGAAATGGAACGTTTAATTTAGTGTTAATAAATAAAAATTGATTTGGGAATATTTAACTGTTTAAAATTAGTTTAAAGTGAAAAGAAGAAGAAGAAGAAGAAGAAAAAAGGGCAAGCACAGAAATTTTTGAAGGGACTCCATCCACATTGAGGGGACAAAAACCATTATAGGCCCACAAATTCAAAGTGTTAGCTGGTCATGACAGACTATACATACATACACCTCTCATATCATTTCATGCATATATAATACAATTACTTTTGTAGATTCACTTTTATTTATTTTAAAATTTTATTTTTAATTTTGTTTTTTTTTTTAATTTAAAGAAAAAATAGCCTAATTTCCTTTCAAAAATAACAATGAATAAAATATAATTTTATAGCTCTTGCATTTTTTTATATTATACTTTTTTAATTATTTTTTAAAATTACATCTACTTATAATTAAATATTATGGGTTTTCTCCAAAAGAATATGACACTCTAGCAGGCTTGTTAATTTTTAAATAAATAAATATTTGTAAAAAATAAAAATATAACAATAAACTTTAATGTCAACAAAAACTTTGCTATCGTTATACTCGAAGATTTTTAATTTAATTTATAAAAAAAATATTTATTAAAATGATTTGACATAATATTATTTTACATTTTCATCAATGATGAATCGAAAATTTATATTGATTAATACAATTTATAAAGAAAAATTTATTATTATATAATATAATTCCTTGTTGATAATAACATTTATTATTTTCTTAAATGCATCCAACTTGTGTATAATTATATTTTTAATTAAGAAATTAATTAATAAGAACCATAAGATAACAAGTAATTGTCATTGTCTTTGTCTTGTAGTTTCCTTAATTGATTTTTACTATGTAAATCAAACACGTAAGATTCCTAATTATTTATTACCACCTGCAGATCCACACTCTTATCTAATGGATTAAAATTAAACACAAAAAATTAACCCTCTTGATTCAGTGAATGGAATTTTTACAATTTCAATAGTTGTATTTTCAATAATTAATAAAATATTCTACCTTTAAAATGAGGAAATTAAGAAAAAAAATATTAAAACAGAAAATTTGAACGTTTAACATATTTTTATTTAATTGGATGAAAATAAATTATATAGAATTGCCCATTTCTTAATAATTTCCTCTTCATTTTGTAAGAAAATTGAGAAAAAAATAAAAAAAATAAAAAAAGCTTCAAATTTTTTATAATAATTTATCATCTTATACATTGTAAGGTGTATTTTTTGTTATTTTCTATTGATAAAATTAATATTTTTTATAATTAAAAAATAAAATAAATAAAGTATCATAATGATTATTTATTCATTAAAATTGAAATACTTACTCTTCAATAAATTTACATATTTTTAATATTTTATTTTATTTTTAAAAGTCTTATCAGTTAATTTGTTTAAAACTTTTACCTACTATCCTGGTTTTAATAAAACAAAGTCACCATCGGTTAATCCGTAATCTCTTGTTTAATCTTGTTTAAGAAATAATCAATAATATTATTAAGTCAATAATCTTTTTTTTTTTTCTCCTGTTTAATAAAATAATAGTAATAATCTTTACCAAACGTATCTATGTTGACAAAGTGGATGGTGAAGATAGAAAGAACAGATAATGGTATTTATTTTCAGGTGTTATGACGTGCAACACACCTAGGATTATGCCACGTGTACGGTGGATGCGATCTCGCACTCTCTTCCCGGCCTCTATAAATCCCGGTCAATTTTTCTCCTTCAAACTCGTCCCAGCACAGCGAGTGAACTCACTTCCAATCAGATTAAAACTCATCTCGGTATCTCTTTCCTTTCCAAGAAAAAACCAGAACAAGAATGTCTTGCTGCGGAGGAAACTGCGGTTGCGGCTCCGGCTGCGGGTTGCGGCTCCGGCTGTAACGGGTAAAGATTTTCACCTAAATGCCCTTTTAGTTTTTAATCTTAAATTTTAACGTGTAAAAAATTTTTATCCAAACGCTTCTTTAATTTTCGATCTTAAATGTTTACCTATTGGTTTTTCACTTTGCAGATGTGGTATGTACCCTGACTTGTCCGAAAAGAGCACAACCAAGACCATGGTTGTTGGAGTTGCACCAGTAAAAATGTGTGTAAATTGTCCGTAAATTTTTGAAAATTAATTATTTAAAACTGAAATTTTACTTTAAATATTCTTACTTTCACAATCCCGTTCACTTGTTGAGTCGTTGCAGGAGCCATGAGAGGCAGGGGGTGAGCTTTGGACAAGAAAATGATGGGTGCCAATGTGGATCAAGCTGCAGCTGTGACCCATGCACCTGTAAATGAGGAAAGAGGAAAAAGAAAACATGCCCAGAACAAAGCTGCTGATTATCTATAAACCCAATAAAGTTTTATGCTTAATTTCAGTCTATTATATATTATATATGTGTGAGTGTGATTAGGGTTTGCTGTAATAAAAGGGCCATGTTTTAGAAAAAAATCCTCTTTATGGGATTTTGGAAGTGTTTCATGGCTAAATTATGGCACTATCGTTGTTGTTGCTGCTTTGTGGGCATTGAAAATAACTCATTTGTGTTTGTAATTCAACTTTGAATATGGGTTTGAGTTGTATTGACACGTATCATGAATATATATTTATGTATATCTATCTATCTTCTTTTAAAATATTTTCTTGACTTTCTAATTTGATGTGTTGATTGAATAAGTTGCATTAATTACATATATTATAACATTTAGGGGGCCGGCTATACAAAAATCATAACTCGAGAAAATTCTGAACATTAGTTTTTAGCATTTATAGTTTGACTTTTTCAATTTCCTTAGTATATTGACTAAGTTCAAGGCATTTTTTAGATGAAACGTGATTATATTTTTGGATCTTGATGATGTTTAATGCATTTTTGAATAAAATTATTACGATAATCACGAATTAAAATGTTATCTACAAAAAATTAAAAAACGCTGTCGTTTTATTTACTTGCGCATAGAAATTATGCAAGCACCTACTACAAATATATATATATTTCAACGGATATGCAAGAAGACAAACCGTTTAGGTTGACTTTTTATTTCTTTGTGATCGAAAGTGTTTGAACTGAATTTTAACAACATAAGATTTGCATTATGTACTCTTAAATTTTACTATTTGAGTTATTTTATAACTTTTATGTGATGTTAATTACATTTTATAGAAAGACAAAATCAAAATTATTAATTGAGATGTAAATGCAAAACGTAATAAACTTTCTTCGTATCCAAACGTCGGATAGTTTTCTCGAGAAAACTCATTCGAGCTAAAATGAGGAGAATCCATTCATTTGCCCCAGGACTCTCCAGTTACTGAATCTTGATGCGATGAATTTTACTGTTGAATTTGATGCCAGAGGGTTTCGACTTGCTTGAGATTATTTATTGAATGCAAGGTATTTGATAAAATGCTCAAGCGAATCTCTACTTGAGTCAACACTATCGACCAATGCGAGTTCCTATTTTGATGGGCTTACTGTTTATTTGATCGAAATGGTTGAAACACGTTTGGTTAATCTTGTATGCCCTCATGCATAGATGATGTCTATTCCCATGGGTTTGAGAGCTTATTCCATAGACTTTTTACTTCAGTAATACCGGTTTGGTCTTGGGAACTAAAATCCTGGATGGTAAAGAGTTGAAGAAATTTGGGGGAACCTGAAAAAGGTTACTTTTTTTTGGACTAGTTCAATTTTTCTTGCATGTTTCTATAATTTCTTGTTTTGAAGTTCTGAACTTTTCGGCAGCACAGTTATTACAGCTTTATTTGTAAATCAAACTTGAAAAACCTGATTTCTTTCTTTTCAGTCTTTAGATTTCAGTCGCAAGCTCCTTACTCCAGTTTAACCAGTTTTACTTATCTATTTTGCAGCCTCTTCTTATGGGTTGTGTTTACTTCTTCTTGGTGTGTCTAGTTGATGCGCTTGCCTGATTCATTTTCTCAAGTGCAATTCAGTCTCCCTTATTTTGCTGTTGGGAGAAAAGGCAAGAAAGCATGCAAGCAGTGGCTCTGTGGGGGCAAAGCAGGCAGCTCCTTCAGGCAATTCGTCGAACATTTGGTGTCACTTGTATTCCTATCAATCATCAGATAATTCCTTCTGGTTTCAACTTTCTTTTTAGCCAAATGCCAGATAATTTTGTTGAGAAAACGGATTTTGAGCAAAAGGGAGAAGAACCCAAGTGTTTGTCTCTGAGAATTGAGAGACTACCAAGAGGAGAACCAGTTGGGGCTGCATTTCAGGGCTGGATGGGTGAGGGGTTTCCCATTCATAGAGGTGATATTTTCCATGCAATAAATCGCTTGAGGAAGCTCAACATGAGCAAACGTGCCCTTGAGGTTACTTCCTATCTCTGTCTCCATCTTATATTTGCATTTCATTTTGGTGATTGGTGGCAAAAGAAGGTTTTTTAGCTGTAATTTGTTTTTTTTTTGTTAGATGAATGAGTTCTTGTATTGGCATTAACAGGTGGAAATATCGAAGCTCTATTCACTAAAAGGCTTCTTTTTTTCAATATATATATGACTCTCTCTCTCTCTCTCTATATATATATATATATATATATATATATATGACTGTGGCTGTGGTGATTGATGTACATATCAGAGAGGGAGGGAAAAAATTCAATTTAGAATCTGATGTTTCATGTTTAAGTTTTATCGATCTTGGATGCATGAGCCAATTCTTTTCCTGTATTTACTTGCCACTAGGCAGATTGTTATACTATACAAAGTTTTGTTATAACAAGTTGTAAGTTGTCAAGACTTGAGTTGTGTGGAACAAGGTGTTTTCATGAGCCGTTTGGTTATTGGATTTTTGGGTCATTGTGCTGATAATATTAATAGTTAAAAATATACCGATCAGGTAGCATAGTATTCATCCATCTGCTTTTGCAGCCGGTTTCCTGCTTTCCCTCTGTGATCGAATGCTCTTTGTTTTCTTGAGCTTGCATTAAAAGCTGAATTTGTGCTCATTTTGGTAGGTGATGGAATGGGTCATCAGAGAAAGGCCATACAGGCCAAAGGAGTTAGACTACTCATATCTGTTGGAATTTACAACTAAAGTTCATGGGATATCACTAGGTGAAAAGCTCTTTTGTCGTGTCCCTTCCGAGTTTCAGAATGAATTGCTTTACAACAATCTTGTGATTGCGTGCTTGGACAAAGGTGTGATAAGACTTTCACTTGAGTACATGAAGAAAATGAGAGAATTGGGACACCCCATCTCATATTTGGTTTTCAATCGCCTCATAATTCTCCATTCTTCTCCAGCCCGTAGGAAAATAATACCCAAAATCCTTATCCAAATGAAGGCTGATAAGGTAACCCCACATGTCTCTACCTATAACATTCTCATGAAAATAGAGGCTAATGAACACAGTGTTGAGGGTTTGACAAAAACTTTCTACGATATGAAGAAAGCCAAGGTTGAGCCAAATGAGATATCCTACTGCATATTAGCTACTGCTCATGTAGTGGCAAGGCTACATACTGTTGCCGAAGCATACGTTGAGGCTGTGGAGAAATCGATGACGGGAAGTAACTGGTCAACACTAGATGTCCTAGTTATTTTGTATGGGTATATTGGGAAGGAGAAAGAACTGGAGAAAACTTGGGGAATTGTGCAAGGACTTCCCCATGTTAAGTCCAAATGTTATATTTTGGCGATCGAAGCATTTGGTAGAATTAGAAAGATAAGTAGAGCAGAAGATATCTGGTTAGAGATGAAGTCAACAAAAGGGTTGAAATCAACAGAACAGTTCAACTCTATAATCTCCGTATATTGCAAGCATGGGTTAATTGATAAAGCAACTGGGATTTTCAGAGAAATGGGGGCTAGTGGCTGCAAGCCTAATTCTATTACTTACCGACATCTTGCTTTGGGTTGCTTGAAAGCTGGTTTAATGAAGGAAGGTTTAAAAACTTTAGAATTGGGATCGGATATGAATACGAGCAGAAGGGTCAGGAATTCAACCCCATGGTTGGAAACCACTCTTTCAATAATCGAGATCTTTGCAGAAAAGGGCGATGTAGGGAATGTGGAGAAATTGTTTGTAGAATTAAAAAATGCCAAATATAGCAGGTATACCTTTGTGTACAATACTTTGATTAAGGCATATGTGAAGGCCAAGATTTATGATTCAAATCTCTTGAGGAGGATGATTTTGGGAGGAGCCAGGCCAGATGCTGAAACTTACAGTCTACTGAAACTTGCTGAACAATTTAGATCCTGAATACAATTTTGCGAGGTTTACAAATTGTGTTTATTATTTCGAAGATTCTTTTCATCACAGTATATAAAATGCAAGGCATCATCATTGTAAAAGAAGGTAATTCATGAAGGGTGGAGTAAATGTAAATTCTGAGAGAATGATAATGTCGTTCGTGAATGATGATTCGATAACTTAAATTTGTCTCTTATGGTTCTGATTAGTGGTCTCATCATTTGCGGTAGAGATGATGATTTCTCAATCTAAAAGTAAAAGAATTACTAATATATTTTAATTATCCAAAGAGTTTAACAGTCTATATTAAATTACAAATAATATATAATTTTATAAAATAATAATTATTTATTTTCATAATGGACATAAACATTATTATAACCCTTGTTTTTCATTCGATTGTCATATAATTCTTGGTTCAAATTTTAATATTATTATGTTTGAGTTACCACCATCTCTACTCTGAATTCTTTGATTGTTTTTTGAATATTGAGTAAAGAAAGCATTTTATTTAACACTGAGGTTTTCCTTTGCTTACAACTAGAAATCCTTGAAGAGCAAAACAACTACATTGCCTCCTTCATTTTCCCACATAGTTGAGAACAACAACGGTAGTAAGGGTTCAGGTTAGATAGTTGAGAAACTCTGAAGCAGTAGCAACGGCACCTCCTGTGATGGCATCTATCATTATCTTATCTCTGTCTTTGTTACTTGCTGCAGAAACCAGTGCTCCTGTCAATGCTCCCCCAATCATTGCATTCTTCTGTAACATTCCCACATGAGTTTTTTTAAATTTAAAATACAATAAGACTTAATTACTAAATATATTTTTTAAAAGCCATAAACTAGAGTATAATTTCAGTAAAATCTCAAAGACTTGTATTAACTTTAGTCTCTGGCAACCCTAATGGCATAGTGTTACATACCCAGTCTTTGGTTCCTCTAATCTTCTCTGCCCCATAATGCATTCCAACATATACTCCGGCCAGAGTTCCTGTTCATACACTCAACTTAATCCTCTGTTTCATCAGAACATACACAACAAGAACTTCCACAAAGTTAAACCTACCAGAAAATTACAGTGTCCTTCATTTATAATTTTGCTCTTGTTAGGGTTCAAAGCCCCATTATCTTTTCAGTACCATGTTTTTTTTTCTTAAATATTTAAAATTATTTTTTGTTCTTGTTTTCTTTTCTTTCTTTAATTTTTGTTTTTTTTTTAGTTTTCGGTTTTAATGCGTTTGCGTTCAGAAACTAACAATTCTATGTAAAATGATAAAAGAATCATATTAAGAAACTCAATAAGTAAACTGTAGAAGGTGAACTTACCATAGTAAGCACCTTCTTTGCACATTTTCTTCAACTGCAACAAGTCATATTTCAACATCAGCAAAGAATGAGACTGATAGGAGATGAAACTAATTGATTGGAGAGTCAAAAACTATTCAGCAACATCCAATTAAAACTATGGTTGAACAAATCTACCATAATATAAAATTAAAATTTTATCAAAATTTAAGATTCGTTGTTTCAATTCACATAAGATTATGTTTTTAATTATCCTAAAACAATGCAAAACATCTGATAGTTAAACTACATGTAAATTAAAGAAAACAAGTTTCACAAAACATTCATGAAATAGTTGTGAACATTGCCGTTACTCACTGTATGCTCAAAATTGTGGCCTGAAAAATTCCCTGCAAAGAGAACAATAATCTTTTAGAAATTCTGTGCTAATCATTTTAGCAAGTACTGGGACTATTTTAATTTCAATCCCTGAGGAAAAACTGTCTTGACATTCAAATCTAATCATAACATTAGATAAACATAAACACACCTAAACCAAATAACAATCAGAAATTAAGCCATCATGATTTATTTAGTGAGATTAGCATCTCTTTTACTTCAGAACACTATGTATATGAACCTTATTTTTTGGCTGGAAATGTATACCTTTCCTGACGACATGGTAGGCATCCTTTGCAAGTACTCTAGTAGCCGCAACCTAAACAAAGAGAGGTAACGGTACCGTTTCAAACTCCAAAAAGACGATCGAATTTCGGCAAAGGAAATGCAGAGAAGTGAAAAGAACAATGTGTATCAACATATGCACTTACTGTTCCGATCTTGAGGAAACCGTCGACGGTGAGATTGAGGAAGGGATTGCCCATGTCTATTGTCACGTCGACCTTCGGCGTCGATAGTGAACCTGCGAATCTGCTCATCGGCATCTTCTTCTTCCTCTTCTTCTTCTTCTTCTTCACTTAACAGACTAATACTTTCACCCCTCTCGATCTGTGTGCGTATATATATGGCTTGTTTTGTATTTTTTCTTAAATATCTTCTACTCTGAATCTTTATATGCACACAAGTATATGTAAATAATGTGGATTGCTTGGAAATGAAAAAGAAGACCAGGGAAGTGAATTTACGGCAATGCCATCACTGCAACTGCTAAAACCAGTATGTCCGGCGCTGGTTGAGGGGAAGCCTTGATGGAGATCAGGTGCAGTTCGGCCTTTTCCGTCTCCACGTGGCAGCTATCCATTGGTTTTTAAACCAACGGTTGAAAATAAATGTCTTTTTCTTCTACTGGATCATAATTTATTTCATTAATGAGAATTCAAAAAATTATATTTTTATTATTTATTATTTTTAAGTGATTTTCTCTGTAGAAAATTATCATGATAAAGCAAAGGCCCATATCGAGGTCTTCAGCCCATCAGAATACGGACGTCAAAACGCAGCGTTTTAAAGGCGAAGTTTATTGCACCGTCTTTGTTAGGGTTTTTGTTTATAGGGTATAAAACAGATGTCTAAGGTCTTCTTCCTCAATCTTTTTGCATTCAAAGTCAGACAGAAACCCTAGTGAAGTTTGATTGAAGTGGGTAGGTTACAGTATGGACAAGGGCATCTTAGCAGGACTCGATGGCCTTCCCGAGGAAGACAAGGCCCGAATGAGCGCCATGATCGACCACCTCCAGCTTCGTGATAGGTTCGTTTCCTCTCTTCTTAAATATTTTACTCTTTAATTCATCAATTTCTTTTTGCGCTGGAGCTCGAATAATGTCTTGTGATAGTTTGAATTTAAGGCTTTCTGAGAAGCTTATCCTTTTGGTTTCCGATTTGATTTAGATGAGATTTGACTTTAAGTTAACTAATGGGTTTGTTCGATTACGTAGGATTCCTGCTGTTTTAGCTTGTTTAGTTTAGTTAGTTCAAGTAATTTATGGTAATGCGAGTTTCATTTTGTTATTTCTTTGGATTCTTCAAGCAAGTCGACCCCTTTTAATCGTAATCCAAAAATGCTGTGCTTGCTGTTTGAGTTACGGGTATAAGTTGTGCTTAGGTGCTATTCTTCAAGCAAGTTGATCCCTTTAGCCCAAATCTAAAATGCTCTTCTTGCCGTTTGAATTATGGATCTAAATAGTGATTTAGGGCTATGATTCTTCAAGCAAATTAATCTCTTTTAGCTGGAAACTAGTACTTAGTTTCCCTCCTATAGGATGCACGGCCTAGAACTAGTCAAAGTAAATTAATATTTATGGTTTTGTTTTTTTAATTTCTAGCTTCACATTACATTATTGTGAGATGGGTTGCATCTTCTTTTTCCCCTGCAACTCGTCGAAGTGAAGCTAAAACAAAGGATCTCCTTAAAACCAGTGCAGGCATTTGTGTTGCATCTGGACGTTTAGGGAACAACATTTCACCTACTTTGACCTTATTTTCTTGCCTTAACTTTGGTTTAGGCCTCCACAGAATGTTTTGCAGCGGGCTATGCTTCAGCTTGTTTGGTGCAACAAACAAAGCCTTTTGTTGAGATGTTAATGCAAAACATTAGCATTACATTACAAGTATTGCTTCAGAATAAGTTACTAAAAGCAGCAAGCAGTTTGTTTCTTTTGCTGTCTTGGGATGGTGATGTGGTTGTAGTTATTTTAAGTTCTTGTAGAATCTGTGTTTTTTTGTGGGAATGTGGTTTATTTTTGGTTTGTGATTCTTTGATTAAAGAAAAAAAACAGCTGTTATTGTTTTTTCCTTGTTAACCAGGGTTCTGTCGTGTTGCTTCGGAGGAACCACACTGCACTTATTATTATAGCATTTCATAATTAATCAATAATTTTGTGTAATAATTATTATTAATGTGTAGTAATTCAGTTACTGCCTACTGTGCAGTAGTTACTTGAGAAAACAACCAAAATAGTGTTGAAATATTAGAAACTTACCACGGAGGAATAGTGCCTCCTGACATCATAGATATTCACTGTTATCATTTGGTCGTTCATCTATATAAATGGATAATTTTGGAAATGTTCAGTTTTCTACTTATACCTGAGACTTCTGGCTTTCACAAATCCACTCGAAAATAATTCTTACAAGAACTCTTAACTGTTTATTGCATATATTGCAGAGACAAATCTCTGTCATATCTAGGTTATGGGTATATTCTGTATCATTTTCTAATCTGTGTTATTTTTCACTTGAACGAGCAGTCTGAGAATGTATAATTCTCTTGTAGAAAGATGCTTCACTGATTGTGTTGACAACTTCACAAGGAAAACCCTACAGAAACAAGAAGAGACTTGCGTCATGAGATGTGCTGAGAAGTTTTTGAAGCATTCTATGCGTGTTGGGATGAGATTTGCTGAACTCAACTCGCAAGCAGCCACACAAGATTGATTTAAAACCTTTTACAAAAGACCATGGATGTATGTGGCTGAAACCAACCATTTTGTGACCTTGTAGTGCTTTCCCTTTTAACTTGGCTAGGTCTTATATTTTATTTTGATTTCCTGTTGCTCCAATTGAATACAAAAATATCACCTTGCCAATCAAGATTTTTGTCCGCAGAATAGCATTTATTTGTATTTGAGTATGATGAACCAACCCTGTGGGTCGTCAATAAAACTCTGCTTTTTGATTATTGTATAAAATAACCCATTTTGGATCATTATATTATAGCTTGGACTGAATAAGAATTTCTCAGACGATTGAATTTGTCGAAATTATTACAAGCACGCTGCCTGCTTATTTTTGAGGAAACAATTCAAATTGGAAGCTTTCTGGAGCAAATGCTGCTTATGTTCCATCTAGTAAGTAAAATGTTTGTAGATTTGGATACATATTTTGATGTACATTTGTAGAGTTTGAAAAAATTATATGCAAATAGATCATCTATATGTAAGATGCACAAATCAATCATGCTTCAGACATATGAGCTCAACGAATCTTACAAAAGCTACTGATCATCATGAATCAGAATCTGATTCAGCCCTCCTGCTCTTCCGCTTATGCCTTCTTCTGGCGTCTTGAGATATCTGAATCAGAGTAATCTGGATGGTGATGACTTCTTCTTCTTCTCTTCTCTTTCTTACTCTTTCTCCTATGTTGCCGAGGCTCACCATCCTCATCACAGGACTCATCCCTCTTTCTCCTCTTCTCCTTTCTCCTCTTCCTCCTACCTTCATCTTCATCCTCAGAACCATCATATTCCCTCTCCCCACTTCTCCTTTTCTTTGACTTCCTTCTGTCCTTCCTCCTATCCCCTGAATCTGAATCATCTGAATCCTCCTCCCTCTTTCTCAATGACTTCCCCTTACTACATCTCTTCTTCCCATATCTCTCAGCAATAATCCTCTCAATCTCCGAATCAGCATCAGAATCTGAACTCTCACTCTCCTCTTCCTCTTCCTCACTCTCAGCAGCCTTCTTCCCCTTAATCTTATCCAGCCCAGACAAAATCGCTGCTTCAATAGCTTCAGGGTCTTTCCCTTTAACATCATCCCTGACACTCAAGAAGTTCCTGCACTGAAACGTAAGGTGACCAACACGGTCACACTTCTTACAAGCTCCACGAGCCTCATCAGACTTTGAACCAGTAATACGGGCAAGCGCCAGAAGACCCTGAAAGCTGGCATAAGCATTCTCAGCCTCTGGTTCGGAGTTAGATGCCTTGTGCTGCGCCGAGTTCTTGGAGTCATCTTTGTTAGGCGCATATGGATCGTATCCTATTGCACTCTGCCATATACCGTGCGTCTGCAAGGCTGCACTGCTATGCACCCGATTATTCGCAGGCATGCGAACCCTTCCTGCTGTTGCCGGCATCTTGAGGAAATCTAGAGATCAAAATCTGCCTAAGAGAATCGAACCCTAATTAGGGCTTTACACTCACAAGAAGGAAAAAAGAAAGAGAAACGAACCCTAGAATTAAAGCTTCCAATTCAAAATCAATCAAGATGAGTATTAGGGTTTCAACAGGCGATTTTATGTGTCTTTAGAACTTCGGTAAATTCAAGCTGGGATCTAAATACAGGATTCAAACAAGAGAGCTTCCGGGTCGCGTATAAATTTTTCTACGATCACGAATCCGAAAGCAAACCCAATTCGTGAAATCCAAGGAAATCATCTAATCATCGTCACTTTTCATGTTTTAGCTTCAATTAAAGGAGCACATGAGAAACAAGATGGAGTACCAATTAGAGAATGGAAACGAAAGATGAAAAAGTAAAATTGATCTGGAGCGAGATTATTACCGGTTTTGGAGGAGAAGGAAAGAATTCTGGGTTTTCTGCTTATGGCGCACGGAAAGTCGTTTTATAGAGGCGGTAGGTACATTCCTAATCCGGAAATTACTGGGCTAATAATTAATTAATTAATTAATTAGACTAATATATACGCTAATTACTCAATTAATTAGACTACTAAGAGGCCCAAATGTGATGGGCCTGGGCCCGCCTCTTAAACTACTACTTGCGATGTTGTTTGTGTTAGAAAGGAAAAATCTTTGTTTCCTTTTTTTTGAAGTTTCCTTTTCTATTCTCTTCAGCTCAATATAAAATCACTCTCTCTTTCTCACTCTAATACCACCAGTAATAGTTGCAGAGCATCCATGGCGGCCATGATGCTACCTACTACACAATCTCTTCCTCCTCCTCCTCCTCCTCCTCCTCCTCCGCTGCAACAATTACCATACTTAATATTCATTGTTGTCTGTTCCATTCTTCTCTTGCTTGCCTGCCTGACTCGCTTTAGATTTAAAGTTCTCTGCTTTCGCCGAGATACTGAAGATAGAAACTTGTCGGGTGAGCGTCAGACGCAGACATCAGGTTCCCAGTTCGGTCGATCGTTTGCGTCTGGGGAAGCTGACTTCGCCGGTAGCCTCCTCACTGTATACCGGAGCGGGGAAGGGAAAAACGAGGGAAACTTCAGCGACGACTGTGTGATATGCATGGAGAGTTTTGCCGAGGGAGATGAGTGTAGGGTCATAATCAGGTGCAACCATGGCTACCATAAATCCTGTCTTGACCAGTGGCTGATTAGGCACGAGCACTGTCCGATCTGTCGAGGTTCTGTTTAAAATGGTTCTGATCGGTTGTGAGTTTTGAGTGAAGTCTAATTTTATTTATTTATTTATTTATTATTGGGATAGTTACAAAGGCATAAAATATATTAGTGTAATTTTTGTTTTCTTAAAAAATAATAAGAAATTTCGATATTAGTGTAATTCATTAATGGTCTATAATTGGATCGGACCAAATTATATTGCAATAAGAAAATTCAAATACATGGAAATTCGAAAACCTTTTATACCAACATTGATAAAATATGAACAAAAAAAATGATATCTAACAACAATGCAAGAGATATAAAGATTCTGTTATTAGTTCAATACTTTGTTTCATAAATATAAATTTTTAATTTATATTGGTTTGGTCCAACTTGACCAAATTAAGAGAATATATATATATATATATATTTACTATAATAATTTATTTATTAATTAAATTACTCATCTACGTGAATATAAAATATAATCAAATTCACATTTTTAATTATGAAGAAAAAAAATAAAAGAGTTACATATATTTTTAATTTAAAATAAAAGAGTTGCATTATTCTCAGGGATGACCCAAAAGAAGAAACCCGAATCCGTTAATCCCAAACAAACCTCGTGGGTAAACCCAATATATTTTATATTTTTAATTATTAAAAATATATAAAGAAAATATACGTATATATATATATATATATATTTAGACACATAATTTCTTATCCTTAACGTTTTCGAATTATTATTATTAATATATAATTATTATTTTTCTCCAAACAAATTATCAAGTTCTGTACACCGAATCAAAATAGAATTTCTCATCCTTAACGTTTTCGAATTATTATTATTATTATTAATATATAAACACCCCCCCAATAACTAAAAGCTCAAGAACGTCTTTCGCTCTTTTCTTCTCTGACACATGGAATCCACTTAATCGCAAAATCACCCACGAACATGGATTACTCGCCGTCTCAACCTCCATTTTCGGACACGTCGCCTGACCTAGCCCCGCTTCCACCGCTGAAGCACTTCGTCTTCCCTCTCAACCTATTTGCTTTGTCCATTTTACTGCTTCTTTTCTGTAGCATTGGCTGTCGAATTTACGCTTGCTTTATCCAGTATACAGAAGAAGATATTGAACAGGGAGTTTCGCCGTCTCCCCGCCTAACGACACCGTATCGTCTTCGTCATTTTTTTCCACCAGTGCATCCTCTTGGTTCCCAAGTTACGCCATCGCCGTCGGTTCAGTCTTCCAATGAAGTGCAGAATTCAACCCCGGGCGCTGGAACCTCTGTCTTTGTTTACGAAAACGACGTCGTTATGGAAAAGATAGGAAAGTTAAACGATGTCGAATGCGTGATATGCCTCGAGGGTTTTGTCCAAGGAGACAAGTGTAAGATTCTTAACGACTGCAATCATGTGTTCCACAAACCTTGTATCGACACGTGGCTGAAGATTCATAACCAGTGTCCGATTTGTCGGAGCTACGTCGCCGGCGGTTCTTTCCGTGTCGGTGACACTGCAAGTGCGGGGATCCAAGAGGAACATAGCTACGTATAGGTTTTGTTCTACTTTTTCAATGCGGGGAAAATTTGAGAAAAAAAGCTCCCTTGTTCAACTCGTGCATGTAGATTCGTATGTGTAATGTACGAAGGTTAATTGATTTAATTAAATACACACACATATATATACCTGCTGCAAACATGATTACGGAAATTTCTGGCACATATAAATCGGTCACGTAGAAATTTTAGACAAGATTAAAAGGAATAATTATCTATACGAAAAATAATTTAGGATGTATCGTTATAATTTTTAGTGGAGACAAATCTTATTCTTTTATGTAATGATTTTTTAATACATTTAGAATAAACATAAATTTACTAATAAATCTTAAATTAATTTTACACGAAGGATCTCTTACACCTCCTTTTTCATTTTCTCTTCTACCATACTTGTTTCTCTTGGGTTTTCTTTTAATGATGTCAGATTAGGGTACTAATTAATTTATAATTAATATTAAGTAATTAAGTGAACATAATAATTTGTACATAGTTCGACACCGAAACCGGGTTGAGATAGGATTATGAATCCGATTCCAAAAATAATTAACTACTTACCCTAATATATATAAACTCAGCTCCCCATAACTTGGAACGCAGACAAACATCTTTTATCATTTTGCTAATCAGTCCTCAAAACTTCGTATTATTGCTCTCTCTCTCTGATACCCATCCATCAAAAATCGACTTAATTACCTTAAGAGTACCCAAAAAAATGGCGTCTCCGCCTCCTCAACCTCCTTCTTCCGCCACCTCCAACTTCCAAACACATCCAATTTTCCCTCTATTCTTCCCGCTCGCCCTAATTACTTTCGTCGTTCTCCTTTTCCTCTTTGTCATTTTCCATAAGTTTATACGCTGCTGTTCGGACTCCACAGAACCAGATATTGAACAAGGAGTTTCGTCGACACTGCCGCATACGATGCTGCTTCTCTTTCTCCATCCTCATTTATTACCTGCACCGGCGCCGCAACTGCCTCGTCGTCCTCAAGCGACGCCGTTTCAGTCATCAGGGGAAGCGCAGAGTTCAATCCCGGGCGCTGGGAGCTCTGTCTTTGTGTACAAAAGCGACGTCGTTCTGGGAAATTTGAATGAGGAATGTGTCATATGTCTTGAGGGTTTTGCTGACGGAGAGGAGTGTAAGATTCTCAATGACTGTAACCACGGCTACCATAAACCTTGCGTCGATAAGTGGCTGAAGATTCATAACCAGTGTCCGCTTTGTCGGAGCTCCGTCGCCGGCGGTTCTTTCCGTGTCTCTGATACTGCAACTCCCAGACAGTAGGTTTTTATTCTTTTGTAAGTACAAACTTTTGGGAATTGAGACGGGATAAGCTCCCTTGTAAACTCCTGTAATATTGATTTGTCGGTACATATAGCATTTACATGTACTTGTAAACTCCTGTAATGGGCTCGCGAGCCACAGTTTAAAGAATAGTTTTGAAGTTCAGATTTAAGCAAACAACTAATCTCGAATAACCAGACCAGATCAAATAATTAACTTAATTAGTCCATGCCAGCATTAAGGATAAACTGTTTAGTTTCTGAAAAATTTTGGCTTTGAAACTTAACCATTTGATTCATTATTGACAATATTCATGTCTAATTTTGATTGAAAAAATATGTACACGGGAGGAAACCCTAGCTTTCTTTATTTAAATAAATTAATGCCCATAAACTTTGTGAGATCTTTTCCATTAAATAATTTTGATTATCTCATAATTATCTATCGAATTATTCAAAAACAAACCTAATACAGAAAAAAGTCAAACCTACAAACCAAATTAATTTTTATACATATTGAGATTAATAATAATAATCAGAAAAATTAGTAATGAAAAAGATAAAATAAACCTTAAACATTTCTGTTTATCTTCCTCATTCTTCTTTCACCTCCAAACAAACTTATACACACCCTTCTCACCAGTACATGGTTTCTCCATCGCCTCAACCTCGTTCCCCTCCGCCGCCGGCGCCGACCGCATCACACCAACTGCCGTTGTCGCCGGCTATATTTCCTCTCTGTTACCTCGTCTTCTCCGTTATCTTTATCATCTACGTCACTTGCCGTCGATACAATGAGCCCTCAGATATAGAAGTCGGAAACCTAGCGTCTCAGCTGCACCGCCGTGTTCTTCCCCAACTTCCATCTTTACCACCAGCGGGTCCGCCCGGTAGCACTGTCTTTGTCTACGGAAAAAACGCCGTTAACTGCAACGAAGTCGACTGCGCGATTTGCCTCGACGGTTTTAGCGACGGTGACGAATGCAAGGTTCTTCACGGGTGCAACCATGGCTTCCATAAAGCTTGCATCGACAAATGGCTGAGCCAGGACAAACACTGCCCGCTTTGTCGTGGAGCGGTTCTTGAAGGGTCGGTTCGGGTCGGTGCGATTCATGTCGAGCCGCGTTATAACAATGATCGAGATCGGATTTAGTCTATGTCTGTGTATATGCGTGCATTTGAAAGAAGGGTTCCTCGGTTGTTCGTATGGAAGTTGATATACTTGCAATATATCGTACGGGTCTTGTTCGGTTTTTTCTTTGTGCAAGACTACTCTTTTAATTTTTTTATTTCAAGAATATTATGATAAATTCGAGCGTAAAATAATTTATAAATATAGTGTTCTAAGGATTATAATTCTGAAATATTTCTGGGAGGTTTGGATGTCGGATGTCGTAGTTCCCATGGCTCGATAGCGTTTGCTGGATAGCGAAGAATTCACTCTCGTTTCCAGACCTTTATCCAAATGGTTTATTTGCTTTTCTTGGATTCCTCGGTAGTATTGAAGTAGTTGTTAATGAATTAACTAAGAGCTCTGTAATCTCGATGGGAACTATGTAATTTTAGAGCCTGCTTGGTTCCCTTTCTTACAATTTGATTTGATTTAATAAAAATATGTGTAAGTAATGTATGAAATAGTGTCCTTTGTCAATAAATATAAAAGATAATTCAGAAGAAATATTATGAAATCTCATTTCAAATATTTGTTCCTTTTTTAAGTCAATTTTAATGTATAACTGATTAAAATTTATTTTTATTATATATATATATATATCTTATAATTAACAAATACATAAATTCACACACACAAAAAAAAACATCTTAATATAAAACTACATTGCCTTTTTGTTGGATTTTGTTCTCATAGGGCAAATCTTGGTCAATAATAATTTTCCTGTCATTAATAAAAGGGACCAAATAATATTACTTAACAAGGATTTTGGTAATAATTTAAAAAATATGGTGTTTGACTTCAATTATTTTATATATATATATATATATGTATAAATTGATAGAGTGCAATTTTTATTACAAAAATTTATAAGTACAGTAACAAAATAAGAGATCAACATAACGTCTACTAAAATTTTAAGAAATCATATATATATATATTCTTTTTTATTGAATGTTATAAATCGTGTACCCATAATTTTCTAATTATCCAAATGCTTAAACAACTTATTTGTGAATGTATACAAAACGAGACTGCTCGGTTTCATGTATTTTACCAGAAATTGACTGTTAATTTTTAATTTAAACACCTGCCATGAAATACAGATATACTGTTCTTAAAAAAAAAAAAAAGAGGGAAAAAAAACAGATTTTCAGTATCGGATTTTAACCTAAACCAGGTCGAAATAGGATTCCTAATCTTCCACTGATTCCGTAATGTTTTAATCAGGAACTCTTGCAGTATAAATTATAAGCAGATTTCTTTCCCAATTAAAAACTTAAATTTTTTAATTACCTTTCAATTCATTCCACCATGAGTATCGCCTCGCCTCTCCTTCAACATCCGTCTTCTCCGGCATTAATAACCAACCTGTTTAACTCCTCCGCTTCACTCGTCGAACACAGAGTGCTTAAACTGCTTGCAATTTCATTCATCCTCCAAGCAGTTTTCATCGCTTTTTCTGCTATTTTCCGATTCAGTCGAAACCGACTCGGTCGCCGTCAGCCCGAAAGAACGACGCCCTATAATGACCGTTGTGTAATTTGCTTGGAAGACTTGAAGACCGACGCAGGGTTTTATAAAGTTCTTGGGGAGTGCAACCATAGCTACCATAAAGCTTGTATAGATCGGTGGCTCGCCATCCATGCAGACTGCCCTATCTGCCGCGCCTCTGCATGGGACGAGAGTAGCGAGGGTATGATTTTTAATCGGTTATGGAACTGCATTAACTTGGATCAAATTGTTGTATTACGCCATTAATTAATTAATTAATTAAACATTATTAAGTTGATGATTTATTTATAAATCAGTAATTATTTACTTTTTGGAATTACTGTGTTTTTTTTTTTTTCTCTATAATTGGGGTTGAAAAAGAAAAAGAATTTGCAAACGTAGAAAATTTATCTTCTCAATTAGTCAAATCATGGTACCAAATCACTAGCCATTATACGCACCGTTTCAACCCAAAAGCCCCAAAACTAATTTCACACAAAAATAAAAAACTAGACAGTCCAGACTGCTCTATTACGTCCTCCATAACTCACACAAAGTAAAAAACAATAAATAATAACAAATATTTTTATTAAAGGACAAGAAACAAAAATGGTGGGAATATCAAATTCAAGCCTGCAATTATCAATCTCCAGATCGTACTACAATCTCTCCTCGAGATTCCCGCCACAGACTTTTCCAGCTTTACTTCATGAATATCAAAAGGATAATTACACGCTTCGTAACCTGTAATAATCCAAAAAAGAATTTATGTTACAGCTCGCTCAATCAGATATAAGCAGGACTGGATATAGCCAAAAAGTACGTACTGGGATCAGTTGATGTGAGCACTCCGGTGTGATTGAAGTCACAGTTAAAGTCGTGGCGACCGAAGGCCTGATAGTATGCGTTCATGGCGTACGATGCATGTGACCGCACGTTGTTCGGGTTAAAGCAGGTCCCACCTGCTTGTATAGGTCTGCAGTCTACTCCGTTGCTGCAGACATAGTCTATGTTCGCTTGCAACGCCGGGTCGCTAGCGTCCGATTTCGGCACGCACCACTTCTTCTCCGGATCGGACGAGGGCGAATGCGCCACGCCAGATGTGGGACCCGGTGCCTGCAACAAACAAATCGGACGGTCATTATTGGATCCGTGTTGGAAAAAGTTTCAACAAAGGCTGATTTGACAGAACATCTTTTTATGTAATAAGAAAGAGCGGGAGAATTTTGGGTGTTAAATTAAGAAAAGCCTGGCACGTGTCAGAAGAAGCACAAACAGGAAAAGCCTGGGGGAAAGTGGAGTATTTTGGGCGGATCTAGGTGGCGACAGGTGTAGATGAAAGCAAACGTTGTGCCCTACGTGTCAGCTTCTGATTGGAAAGGCTGCGACGGTCAAAGCTGACCAAAGAAGTCTAGTTGAAAACGTAATCTAAGCCATCAAATGAATTTATATCACAACAATCCAACGCTTGAAATCTTGTATACGACGTCACTCAGCAAAAGTTCACTGTTCGGCCCCTCGGTACTAAAAAGAAGTTAGAGGAATTATATTTACGAAATTACCCTCATCGGACTCCGGTCACCGATGGGAAAAAGTCGGGTAGTAAAACATGAAAGACATGGGAATTAATAAAAGTTACCTGTTGATTCCTCAAAACACCGACGTCATAAACCGGATTGAGATCCGGTTTGAACAACCCGAAATTCTGCTCCGATATGGAGGGTTTGAGATTTTCATTAAACAATGAAAAAATGTAGGTCTCAAAGGTCCGATTTGGCATCATCGGCGTGCCTTTACCGGAGTTGACGTGCTTCACGAGGTTACCGTTAAACGAAAGCGCATTTTCCAAGCTGATGCCTGGTTGATTCGGGTCACCCGCCGAAGGCCACCCCGTCTCTGCAACCACTAGGTCAACATCTTCATACCCCACTTTCTTCATCGCCCAGTAGACGGCGTCGAGCTGAGCGTCAAACATGTTCGTGTAGTTAACCTTCGTGACCGGATCAAATACGCCGCGGTTCGGCTTGAAGATGGCGTAGTTCAAGGTGTCAGCTCTGAACCCGAAGTAAGGATACGGGTTCACCATGAACGGCGACTTAGTCTGCCTGTGAAAGTCGAGGATAGGTGCGAATATTGCTTGGTCGTAGCCCTTCCGGAACCGACCCGAGCTTGGCGGCTCAGACCTGGACAGTATACCGAGCGAGTGTGGCGTGGACACCTGAACGGTGGTAATATTAACAAGCTCAAGGGCAGTTTTCAAGGCTTTCATGGCGGGTAAGAGGTGGGCGATTAAAACCTTGTCCGACGTTGCGAGGATCTCGTTGCCGACGGCGATGTAGTTGATGACCGTCTTGGGGTAAAACGGCTGGATGTTGGCGGCCACCCATTGTCTCGCTGCAGGAAGCTTCGCGAGAGGTGGGATATCGCCGTTTCCGACGGTGACAGTTAAGGCGATTCCGGTGCCGGCGAAGGCGCGGAGAATGTCGGGGTTGGCGTCGAAGATTTTAACCCGATCGATGGCGGTTTGAGTCTTGAGGAAGTTAGCAACTCGTTGAGGTGGCGGAAGATTGTTGGCCACAGTTCCGTAGTTTACTCCGATTGAGTAGGAGGCGAAAGCGGAGTTCGTGAAGAGGAAATAAGTGAAGAAGAAAAGAGGAAATAGCTGAGCTGCTGCCATTTTTGCTCTGTAGAATAAACACACTGATAGGAGGAAGGAGGTGGTGGTGGTGGGTGTAAAATGGTAACTCGGTTTGCGTTGTGCTTCACGTGGGGCCCAGTTTCTGCGAGGTTGATGGCGACGTTTTTGGTTATTAAGATTTTTGGGTGGAGCACACGCGCTTTACGTAATTCTCTTTTATAAAAAAAAAAAAAAATTGGAAAAAAAGAAATAAAGTGGTACAGTTGAGTAATTTAATTAATTATGCAGCGTCACATTCTTAGCATTTGATATATTTGAACACGACATCGTTTAACAGCACACGCCTCTCCTGCCTTGATAAAAGTAATTTAATTAGGGTGATTATGATTTTTTGGGGTAATTATGTATTGTAATTATGACTTTGATTTTCATTGGATTCTATAAAATATGATATCTAAAGAATCCTGTACATGTATTTATTTTAATAGATTGATAATTAAATTCGTTCTTAATTAGGGTGTTGCTGACGCCTTTCTTAATTTACAAATATGATATACATATATGTATAGTTGTTTGATTAAAAAATGTTAGAGAAATATAATTATTTAATTTGATAAATAATTATATGTTATTATGTTATTCCTAAAAAAAATTAATAATTACATGTTCCATTCAGAGTTAATATCTAAAATCGAATAACCAATAGTAAAAAAAGGTAAATGTAGATATTATTTTTTATTGAATGTCAAAATAAATCTATAAAGTAAGCCACAAAAATATTTTATGTCTAAATTAAAATATAAGAATCCGCATCATGATTTCCAAAAACATTTATTTATTTTATTAAATATTTTTTACTTAGATGTACTTATTTCGAGGTGAATTACTTTTTTTATGTGCGAAAATAAAGGGTATAGGTTATCAATAATTTCACAAAAAATCAAATATATATATATATATAAAGATAAGATATCAAAATATTCATATATTATATTTTAATTTTTTATATTTTATACAAACAAAATATTTATTACTATCAACTTATTTAATAAATAACTATATTATAAACTATTTGTTTAATAAATATTATGTTATTATAAAAATATTGTTAACATGAAAATTTTGTAATCGCCACACTAGTAACCAGTTTTTTTTTTTTAATAATTATAAATTAATAAATTATAAAATGATAAAAAAAAAAAATCTTGATGCCAATGCTCTCAAGTGTTTATCAACTCTTATTTAAGCACTGTTACCTAATTTAATTTAATGGCACCTAAAACAAAGAGTTACATAAGAATAAATTATTAATAATAAATTAATTATATTATATAAATAAATTATGTGGTTATCACACTAATAATATTTTTAAAATTCAATAGTTATTTGAACGTACCTTTTGTAATATTAGCGTCCGTTTGGTATGCAGACAAAATTTAAAAATACATTATATTAAAGGTAATTTGAATTTTTTTTTTTTAAATAGTACAAACAAGTTTTTTTTTTTTATGTCATATCCCAAAAGAAAAATAGCTGATCACGGGCCGAACCCGTTTCAATCTGACAAGCATTTCCTCAATCTTGACCCGCAAGGACTCTCAGCCCGTCCACGTCCGCCGTCTATGCGCGCTCCCGAACATGCCCTCTGCGACAGGTATAAGAGCCTAGCGCATCGGTGACAAGGCAGAGCAACCGAGCCATGTCGCATGCCCGGCAAGCTCTCATTCTTTTATCAAAAATGGCGAAAAGCCCACCCCTCAAAGCTCTCTACCTCTTTGATTTCTCCACCCTTCATGGCCTGCAACACAACACCCAATCCATATCCTTTATCCTCTACCTCCTCCTCTCTTCCACCATGCTTTCCCAAGCCCAGTCTTTTCTCCTCCAAATTCTTTCTGGTCGAATCTCCTGTTCAATCTTCAACCCCTCGTCTCTTCTTCATCATGTAACCACGCAACCTTGTTTCAGCCTAAATTCAACAAATACAGTCCGTTTATACGAATCAATTGTTAATGCTCACGTTCAATCTCAGTTGCTAGAGGAATCTGTTTTTTATTTTAACCAAATGGTTGATAAAGGTCTTGTTCCTGGATCAAACACGTTTAATAATCTTATGGGTTTTCTTCTTCGATCAAGTGGTTTTCAAAAAGCATGGGTCTTTTTTAACGAGAATAGGGGGAAGGTTAGTTTTGATTTGTATAGCTTTGGGATAATTATAAAGGGTTGTTGCCAGGCTGGTGATTTGAGTAAAGCATTCGAGCTTTTGATTCAATTGGAAGAGATGGGTATCTCTGCAAATGTAATTATATACACGACTCTGATTGATGGGTGCTGTAAGAATGGTAATATTGAGGAGGGAAAGAGATTGTTTTACAAGATGAATCAGTTGGGATTGGTTGCTAATCAGCATACATACACAGTTCTGCTCAACGGATTGTTCAAAAATGGCTTTAAAAGAGATGGGCTTGAGCTCTACAAGAAGATGAAAATCAATGGTGTCTCGCCCAATTTATACACTTACAATTGTATGATAAATTTATACTGCAAAAATGGGGACGTACGTAAAGCCTTTGAGCTGTTCGATGAAATGCGCGGGAGAGGATTGGCGTGTAATGCAGTTACATACAATACTTTGATTGGTGGGTTGTGTCAGAAGATGAAGATTTGGGAGGCTGAAAAGCTAGTCAATCAAATGAAAGTGGTTGGTATAAATCCAAATTTGATAACCTACAACACACTGATTGATGGGTTCTGCAATGTTGGAATATTGGACAAGGCTATGAGTTTATTCAACCAATTGAAATCTAATGGTCACCTTCCATCTCTAGTGACTTACAATGTTCTGATTGCAGGTTTTTGCAAAGCAGGAAACTCAACAAGAGTGGTTGAGTTAGTGAGGGAGATGGAGGAGAGAGGCATCAGGCCATCATCGGTGACATACACGGTCTTAATCGATACTTTCCTCAGATTAGATAACAGGGAAAGAGTATATGAAGTATTTTCATCCATGGAAAAAGCAGGTTTAGTTCCTGATGTTTATACTTATGGTGTTTTGATTAATGGGTTGCGTAAGAAAGGAAACATGAGGGAGGCATCCAAGGTTTTTAAATCAATGGGGGAGGTGGGAGTTGAGGCAAATGACGTTATATATAATATAATGATCAATGGGTATTGCAAAGAGGGAAGCTCCTATAGAGCTCTGCGGTTGCTTAACGAAATGGATGAGAAGGGTTTGGTTCCTAATGTTGCTAGTTACAGTTCCACCATTGGAGTTCTCTGCAAGGATGGGAAATGGCAAGAGGCTGAGACTTTGCTTAAAAAGTTGAAAGATTCAGGTCTTCAGCCATCCATATCTATTTATAATATGATCTCTAAAGCCAAAAATGGTATGTATAAGTTAGGATCTAAAGCACTTGTTGAAGAAGGTGATGGATATGGAGCCTTAAGTTGATATAGCCCAAGCTTCCATTTCATGTAGAGCAGCTTGGAGATTCCCTGCAAGATTTTTTGACCATTCTTCATTGCTGGGTAAGCTTCAATCAAACTCTTGTTTACTTGTAAAATATGTACAAGTTAGGAGTGTTTAGCTTACTTAATTTTTTTGGGTAAACTATTTTTTAGAAGCTAATTTCTGAGCTATGTAACTTATTTTTGATAAACCAGTGTCTAGGTACTTTTTTTTTTTTTGGGGTGATTACCAAAAATTTAATAAACGAGTTAATTTATAATTTTCTTGTAAATTAATAGTAAACGAGGAAATAAATCTTAGTTAAAATTACAATTAAATGTGATTCCATTTTTGTTATCTCTTAAAAGAATGGGTTTGAAACAATAATTACCGCACTTAAAACAAGTAATCTATTGGATAACAGGTGATAACCAGGGTCTTCTACTAGAACCTTCTTCCCCGCAATGTCATAAGGTCCTCGAATCCAACGGTTACGGTATTGCCACGTCATCTACGTTTTCTCGTCTCTCTTCATTTCATCCACGGTTCGTCCGTCCGTCCGTTCTTTATATAAAATGGCGCTGCAACTGAAAAGCTGAGCTCAACAGTACTACTCCTTCAACTCGCTGTTGCTCATGTCAACTTCTGCACCAACGGTTCCAGCTCCGAATCCTTGCTCTTCCGAGCACGAACGAGCTAAACCGGATATTTTCTCCGGTGTATTGCAGCCCGATCCTCTTCTCGATTTCGGATCCTTCATCGAGGCCAATCCGCCCAATGGGCAAACCCTAGCTAACGAAGATAATCAGCGAGCTGAGCCGCAGTTTGGCCACCAGTCCTCAAATATCCCGCCGGATTCCTCGGCTGCATCCAAGGCTCAGAATGTTGCGCAGCCCGAGGGGCCGACAGGTTCCCCAGCTGATTCGAAGTCGCGGCGACGGTCAATAGCGCCTGAGAGCTGGCTGCCTCCGGGTTGGACCATTGAAGATAGAGTCAGGAGCTCTGGTGCAACAGCTGGAACAATCGATAAGGTTTAATCTCAGCTCTCAAATGCTATAGTTTGTCGTTACTAGTAATAGTCTCCGAAGGATCAAATGTTTATCGTAGCGATCAATATCTGTCCTTTACTGGGAGGCTTGCGATTGCAATGGTTGTTATTTCTTTGTTTTAGGGAAATATTTCATACTGGGAAATTAAGTCTTAGAAGTGATAATGGGGAATTAGGACTATGTTTGCATTTGAAAAGTTTCTGAAATGGAACAAAATTACAATTCGAATTTGTTGTAGCGGCTACTGTCCTGGTGAATTGATTTGATTATAGCATTTTGAACATGGAAGTTAAAGGAAGAATGGGACTGGCTACATAGAGAGCACGTTGTCTGTAATTCATGACAGAGTTCTACTGGTTTCTCTTACCCTGAATTCAATGATTGTTACGTAAGGACATGAAACATGTTTTGAATGGTGTACTGTTTTGTTGGTAGATTTATATGAACATCTTGATTACAGTTTTGCCTTCTATCAGTAGTTTAAGGCAGTAAGCTCCTCCTCTTTTAGACAGAGGAGCTTGAAGTAAGCTTTTTAGGTGCCTGTAGGTGTCTTTGGTCCCTGTGAACGTTGTTATGTTAAACTTCTGTAGATCTTAGGTCCATTCTGGAATCCTTAAAATGTTTTTAACTGCAAGCTGTGCAACTCTCTCAGTGGCTGCCAGCTGAAAGCAATCTTCTTGATCAACCTATATTTTTCTTACTTGCCTGTGGTTGGAGGAGTTCTGAGCATTTTTTGAGGGAAGATTTACCCCTGCAATAGGTGATCTGTTGTTGGTGATCCCTCATATGTGAAGTAGTAACCAGTCGCCATCTTTTAATTTTTATAGACTCCATACAATTTGTGAGCGAGCTTGGTTGTGTGATTCTAGATTATATTTGAGACAACGGCTCCACACTTCACTGTTGGTATTCTTCTAAAGTTTATAATTGGATTGCTTTATAGCGTCTCATCCTTCACCATAAATGTCTAGGGTCAACCGTCACGATATGACATGGTTTGCCATTCTATCTAAGCCAGATTCAGTTTTCCATATGTAGTCTCTGACTTCTGTTCTCAAGTCAAGTTTTTATGATTGTTCTAGGGAGCTTCAGTCTGTCGTTGTTTCCCACATGGACATTAGTTGCAGAAGCATTTTGGTGTTGTCGATTTGTTGAATTTGAATGGTAGTACTCAAATCGAAGGTAGCTTTCTTAAACTGTTTTCCTCTTCAAGCATGTCCCTGTTCCTACTCCTAGAACCATCGCATGCTTTATGTCAGCAAGAGTCTGGGTTGCTCTCATGATGGATTTATTCCAATTAACAAAACAAATGCATCTTTGTTTTGTCCACCGCTGCGTAGGAGACCAAGTTGAGTTCAGATGGCATGATAGCAGAGCAACTTAATCCTTATGAAGGAATGGATTCTGACTTTATAAGGAGGAGGTTATCGCTTTTATTGTGCATTTGAAGTGTTTAGTTCTCTTTTCCACTATTTTGTAATTTTCTGTCTGTTTATAGGATATTTTTTGGGGATCTCAACTTATCATTTTGATAATTTCAATTAAACGTGTTGCGTATAAAATGCTATGAAGAAGAAAGGGGTGAAAGGAAAACTTATTCTGATAAAGAACGTTCATTCAGAGATTAATGTGCCTTTGTTTTCTGCAGTATTACATAGATCCTGTATCAGGCCGTCGATTCAGATCAAAAAATGAAGTTTTATACTTTGTGGAAAATGGGAGCCCCTTGCCCAAGAGGAAGAAAGATACGGAGGTGAGTTGAAAAGAAAGCTTTTCTGGTTAAAGTTGTAGGATATCTACTTCTTTCAGGGTTCTTCTTTGCTCTTTTCTTAATGTTTTACCTTCTTTTCTTTGTAGACTTCTGAAAGTGTTCCTGGCAATAAACCTAAGAAACCTAGCACAAAAGCAAAGCCTACTTTGAATTTTGACTTTATAAATGCACCTGATAAGGTCAAGTGGGTTTTAACGGATCATTCTGCAGTGTCTTGGACACCCTTCATCAAAGATGAGAAGCTGCCGGAGTCTGCCTGTCAAGAGTGGACTGCTGCTTTCATGTCCCTTACAGCCAAAAAGGGTGGGCAGACAACGCGCTGAAAACAGATCTCACTCTGGCCTTCAACCTGTATGTAAGGGAACAACTTATACTTGGTTAGATAGACATCTTTTTCTGTTTGTTCTTTCTTCTTTCTAGTTCTAATCCAAATTAGTTCTAGATGGCAGCCATACAAAACAAACAGTAGGTAGCATTTTTGGATTGACAGGTTACAGAGTGTTTATTTTTCCTTTATATTTGCAATGGGACACAAGAGTCGCTCTGTCCCCAAAAATGGCCTCACAGTTGTGGAATTCGGAATGAGTTCTGAATTTTTTTACCTTTGTAACTCCATTCATGGGGATTTGCTATAGACTACCTCACTTCTATGAGGAATTTTCTCTTGTTTTATTTGGATTAGGTAGTACTTGAAACACCATACTACACAAACTCTTATGAAGATTCTTGAAAAAAAAAAAAAAAAAAAAAAATGGGGTTCTTATAGGGACTCCACATGATGCCCTTATACATTCAAGGATGTGTTCTATGATTATCTTCGAAAATGGATATGCTATGTGATAAGAGTTATTGTATTTTATGGCAAATCTACATGGAAGGTTCTTTTGATTTTAGAATTTCCAAATTGGTGTTATATAGTGGTCATGCTATACAATTACTGAGTTCACATAATTAAATTAGTTTGAAATTATGTACGCAGAAAAGATCTAAGAACAAATTAAGTTTACTAAAAAAAGTTTGGTTGGTGGGTTTTTCATAAATCTAATTAGACACAAAAATAACATGTAGGAAATTCTAAATAGTTGAAAAAATTAAACTCTTAATTTTAATTGCATTAAGAGAAAACTTTTGATCTTTAAATGATATCTGACTTGATGATAGAGTTTTTGATCCAATAAACTCTCTCGTCGGGAGAGTAAACTAAAGAGTTTAAGTTTGGAATACTTAAATGTTGAAGAAAAATTAAATTAAAATCATTGTAATTAAAACTGATATGGTGAAGCATCATAAAAAATTGTATGGATAATTGTAAAGAATTATTATGTGTTTCTGCAATCTAAATGAAGAAAAAGTATTTCAAATTTCTAATTCAAAATCTTCAACATACTCCAAAGGATCGAAAATTTATTTAAAACAAATATATTTCTTTTATTTTAAAAAAATTGTTCCATAATTTATTTTTCTACATAAATATATAATATATTAAAAACAAATAAAATCTGAAATAGTTTTTTTCCTTTTTTTAATATAAATATCCGAAAAATATATTCAGACAAATAAATAAATCTTATTATTTGTTTCAATAAATAAAATATTAATGAGTGCTATAGAGGGTTCTTGTTGAATTCGTTCTTTAGCATCTGCTCGAAGTCTCTTCTCGCTTCAGCTACTCTCGTTCTCGTCCACACAAATCTAAGCAGTTATGGCTCGAAAGTTCTTCGTCGGAGGCAACTGGAAATGCGTATGTCTTTCTTCTTTTTCATCCTCGTTACTGATTTCGATTTTGGTTATGACAATCATAACAAAACGGCAGTGAACTTTAGCTGTTTGATTCGCATTTGCTTACTTCTATTCGTGTTTTTCTTAAATCTCTGTTGTGTGATCTCTCCCTTTTCTTGTTGTACTCTATCGATTGCGTAGGTTTTTCATTTTTATCAAGTTTCATACTCGAAATTGATTATCGAAATAATATGAATATCGGTTTGATCGCAGGACTTCCTTCTGCTCTGTTCTTAGGCTTGTGATTGGGCAATTTGAGGTTGTGTTTGAATGAATCTAAAATTTTTTTGGAATTTATTCATAAAAAATTCACGTAGATTAGGATATAAATTGTATTAGATGATAAAGAATCGACATGACACTGGTTGCAACAAGTACAAAGTTTTTATAGAACTTATTTAGAAATTCCCGCTTTATTCAACCAAGTGGTGAAAATACTCCCTAAATGATTGAAAAGAAAAACTCAAATATCACATGAGGTTCTGTATGAGGCTAATTTTTCATCATCCTTATGCAATTTGCTTACAAATAAATTTCATTGTATTTTTGCACTTGCCACAAACATTACCAACGTGGAATTTCATGTGGATTTAGAAAAAAGACATTCAAAATTTTATAAATCTTGAAATTCAAAATGCATTTCACAATTAGATATAGAGTCTCATATGGAATCAAATGCTGTCATTTTAGTAAGGATTTTCATGGTTTTCTAATCGAACCAGGGTTGAGTTTGCTTAAATTTTAATTTTATTGAGTAGGAATAGGGATAAAATACAAATGGGATAAATATTCGAATGAAAATAATAGTCTGATTTTCATATGCAGTTCAAGTTAGATATTTTTGTGATTATTTTCTTGACAAATGAGAATATAATTCAATCATTGTGAAATTGAAGACATGGGTGGCGTTGGTTCAATTATGTGTTAATTACGTAAATTATGACTAAACTCTATATATCGGATAATTTGTATCTAAGACTTAAAAAAGAATGGAACATGGTTGGATCAAACGCAAAGTAGTTTAAGTAAATATGTGCACGTGAATTCGATGACATGAGATCAAAAGGGTTGTTGTTGTTGGTGACAGAATGGGACGACTGAGGAGGTTAAGAAGATTGTCACCATGTTGAATAAAGCTGAAGTCCCTTCTGATGATGTTGTAGGTACTTTTTTCTTTTTTTAAGTTTCTTTTCTCGATTAAAAATTAAAGATTGCTTGAATCAACTGTATTTTGAGGCAATGTAATGTCATTCATGTTTGTTGAAATCAATGATTTTGGTTTTAGTAAAATACCTACTGAAGATTGTACCTAACCTTTGTGTTTATGTGACGTTTGGGGTAATTTTTGTTGGGTAACTCTGGTTTTTTATGTGATTCAACACCTTTTTTTTGTGTCTTATAGAGGTTGTTGTAAGCCCTCCTTTCATATTTCTTTCATTTGTAAAGAGCTTAATGCGGTCTGACTTCGAAGTAGCTGCACAGAACTGTTGGGTTCGAAAAGGCGGTGCATTTACTGGTGAAATCAGGTATGCATTATCCAATTTATCATGTTTTTCCTATTACCATGTATTATTTGGGGAAAATAATTTCCAAATGAGCTGCTACAAAACTCAAAAGATTCTTTTATCCAATTTGTTATTGTTACAGTTAGTCCATTATTCAAATTCGCAATTTCTGCATGCATTACTTTGCCCTATATATGCTGATTAAGTATCAACAATGTTGCATTAAGTGAAGTTTAAGTTTGTTCCTTGAAAAAGTAACTGAAGAGGACCTCTGCTATTTGAATTTTCGTTGTTTATGGTGAGTTGATACCCTTTTTCTGTCCAGTGCCGAGATGCTTGTTAATTTGGGCATTCCTTGGGTTATTCTTGGTCACTCCGAAAGAAGATCTCTTTTAAAAGAATCCGACGAGGTAGACCATATTTCATTCCAACAGAAATCTTTTAGTGCTGATTGTATACAATTCCTCTTCTACTATTTGTTCTGTTAGTGCCTTATGCCCATGTCTATTATACTGGTAATCATCTTTATAACCGGCCATGCTTTCTTTCTGTAGTTTGTCGGGGATAAAGTCTCATATGCTCTCTCTCAAGGCCTGAAGGTGATTGCTTGTGTTGGGGAGACTCTGGAACAGCGTGAGTCAGGCTCCACAATGGCTGTTGTTGCTGCACAAACAAAAGCAATTTCTGGTACTCGCTTTCCAGGATGCAATTTCCACACATTGATTGATTATTTGACACTTCAACCTTCTCAGTTGTGGATTAAGCAATGTTTTTGAGACATGGTGAATCAAGAAAATTTTTATGTAAATTGGTGTTTCTAGATTCTTCGATTCACCAAGAAAACAGAAAACATTCAGTTGAAATAAAATTTCTGGGGCAAAAATCATGCATTACCATTCTACATGAATTAGCCTAGTGCATGCAAGTTATGTTTATCTTACTTTAATTTCTCAATGGTAATATAATAACCTTGTGTAATTTCTTTACAGATAAAGTATCAAATTGGACTAATGTTGTTTTGGCATATGAGCCAGTTTGGGCCATTGGTACGGGGAAGGTTGCAACCCCGGCTCAAGCCCAGGAAGTAAGTTTCAGCTTAATCCTTTTACATCATCCTTTCTAGTCTATCATAGTTAAGATACTGTTATAATCATTGAGGCGCTGTAAATATTTCTTAGAAAAATATGGATGCATTTTCTAGGTCCATTCAGATTTGAGGAAGTGGCTTAAAGACAATGTCAGTGCTGAAGTTGCTGAATCAACAAGAATTATATATGGAGGTATATCTTTTCATTTTTTGGCATCAGTGTTGCCATGTTTTCCAGCTATCATTCAACAAGATCCAAAATAAGAAACGAACTGAAATTATGAATCATTATGAACATATGATCATGATTACACATCACCTACTCAAAAAAACCAAGTTTTGTTGGTGGTCAAGAATCCCCAGGTGAGAAAAAGGGGAAAAGAAATATCCACTAGAAGTATATACTGTTTTGTTGAACGTAAATCTTTCAATGTCTTTGCATAAGCTGCAACTTATTTGAGGATCTGATTCTTCATCTTCCCTGTGTATAGGTTCGGTAAATGGAGCAAACTGTAAGGAACTGGCAGCACAGCCAGATGTTGATGGCTTTTTGGTTGGCGGTGCTTCCTTGAAGGTACTATTCCTCCATTTACATTATTGTTGTTACGTGTAAATTACTTGTCTTCAACTTCATTTGCTGACTCCTTTCATTCCCATTTTTGTTAGCCCGAGTTCATCGACATTATCAAGTCTGCTACAGTGAAGCAGTAAGGACTGGAGGCAGGTATAGATCTGTTATATCTGATCTATTCATATCACACATAATCTGTAACTTTTGACTTTGTTGTTAGCCAGCAGCCTCTGCAGCATAATAAGTATTTAACTTGATGTGACCTGAGAGGAGAGTGATTATCATAAAACTGGTTTTGAGTAACGTTTTCGGAAACAAATCATGATTTGCACAAGTTGAAAATTAACTCTTTCCGTAGAATTTTGTGCATTATTTCCTTCTCTGGAGCCTCTCAGTGTATATTTTCACACAACAGAATAAAAAATGATTTTGATATGATTTGATGCTGTGTTGATGGATACTCTTATCTAAACTGGATGATTTTGAAACCATGTAGTTACACTACTTTGGTGTGCCATTTTTATCGGAAGAGTTTTCACCCTCTCTGCAATTTCTTTTGAATGTAAATCCGGATAACTTCTTTGGAAGTTTTCGGAAATGACCATGTGACCAGATGCAGATGCTCAACCTTTCTGGAATTCGGTCTAGGAGGAAGGTGCTTGTTTTATATGAAAGGTGGTGCGTGAGAATTACTTAAAAAGGAAGGATTTTGACGTGAAACTAGTCCCACAAGTTGTCTGATTTTAAAATGTACTAAACATTATATAAAATTAACTTTTTCAAATCTATTCGGCCACCCTAAAATAAGAAACAAGAAGGCCCAAAATCCTAAATTTTTAACTCTTTCTAAGAAGCTAAGGATTCTGGTACTTTGGAGTATATGTTTTATATGATTTTTTTTTTTTAAAAAAAAAAAAAAAAAAAAAGAAAATTACTGTCAATATTTTATTCTTAATATTATTTTCATCAGCAACAAAACATGCTGTGTATGGGCTTGTTATTTTTATCCTCTTTACTTTGATGGTGTGAAAACAAAAATAGGAGCAAAGAACAAAGAACTATGTAGAAATATCATAAATTAAAATAATTTTGTAAATTTAAGAATTAAATTATAATAAAAAAATATATAATTTAAAGTTTAAACTATAATATGACAAGTACTAAAATAGTACATTGTCCACATTCAAAGCATTTGTACGTGTTGTTGTTGGGTATACGGTAAATGCTAAACGCTAAGGGAATTAAGAAGACTGACCTTTTAGATTAGAAGAGTGAGCACGTTTTTCTTCCTTTAACCAGACAAACAACCAATTTTCTAAATTTCAAAAGTTAAAATTTATAGATAAGTTAGTTTTTATATTAAAAATATTAGTACACAAAAATTGTAGTCATCAGATAAATTCAACTCCGGAATTGCATATTGTCACCATATAAAATAGAACTGAATCAAACAGAATCTTACAAAATCAAATCACCATAAAATTTTGCACCTTCACCCAATGCGCCTTTTACCCGACAAGGTTATCTTCGTCCACAAATTCAACCAATCCTTTTTCTGATTTTCTATATCATACATGTACGTCTCCATGTATACACACACACACATACATAACAGTTTTAGACATTTACAAGTGGAGCACTTTTAACCTTTTAGAGATGCACTTTTTTGGCTCTTTATAACGCTCTTCCAACTAATAAGCATGATACACTTCACGCAAACATGTTGCATTTACATTCGCTACTTTTGCACTTCCAGTTGTCGTGGAAATACTCTTTTTCTCATCACATTTTAGAAGGACCCCTTGATTTTATATTAAAAAAAAAAACATAAATTCATCATTTTATTTTTGTAATTTACTCTTCAGTACAAAATATATATATATATATATATGTATCTTCTAATATATATTCTTGAATAAATAAATATATGTTATGACTAGGAAACACCAAATTATTGGGGGTAACCTGCTCTGGGGTTGATGGTTAGTTAGACCTAAATATGCCAATATCACATTAATCCACAAACTTCAACCTATTGATTGCTTCTTTAATTAAGACTCTTACGTGGTTGAAAAACGTAATTAATTAATAACAAACTTAATTAAAAATCATTAATTCGAATTACAGAATTTGGGGTTATAACTCTTCTTTTCTTAATTTTAATAAAATAAATTATGAGAAAGAAAGAAAGAATATTAGACCTTTTGAACATGATCCTAAAGGGCCACCTTTTGCATGTCCAAAAATAAATAATACAAACAGAGAAGCAAGATTCTATCTATAGGACCGGCTACCTATACTGTATATCTGCAGAGAATATATGCCCTTCATATATATATATAAATATATATACATACATCAAAAGTCAAGTCAATAATCAGGAAGCTTTATATATATATAACAAAATAAAACAAAAATTAATACTCTCTCAGTGGCCTCATCATTGTCGTGATTAAGCTGACCAAATTATTGTGTGAGTGCTAATTAAGCAATCCGTACTTTTGTTTATTTTAATGTCTAACTTACTGATTAAATTATTTTGCTGATAAATAAGTATATTATCATATGATCAATGTCAATTATATTATTTTGCAGCGAGTATTGAATTATTGGTACGCACCCATTTCTTTTTTTATATATATATATATACATACACATGTATGATCGTGATCACTGGGTCAGCAAAGTTCGTGTATCCAAATTAGGAAAAAGATTTTAGTATTTTTTATTTATTTTTTATAGTATTTGTTCATATTAATACATGTAAAAATCCAATGAATGTCGTTATATCACACCATACATTGTCGTCGTGTATTTTATATAAGAGATTATTTTATAATTTGTGAGAAATTATTTTTATTTATTAGGTAAAATAAAATTATTTTAATTATCAATGGAAAATAAAAAATTAATACTGAATTAAATCTTGAAATTATCAATAATTTATTGGTGACTTATACAAATTAGAACACAAGACTTTTGTATTGGCACGTGCTTAATTAATTAGTCTCTTGACCTAACTAGTCTTCTTTTGTTTCTAAAAGCACATGGTGATCTAGTTATTCCCTCACAGCTACGTTATTATTTAAATCAAATTAATAATTAGTGTATGGTTGACCAATTTTTCAGAAGAAAAAAACACCTTATAATTTGGACATTATAATATCATTTATTATTATAATTAAGCTTACACACCCCAAAAAAACAAAATGGGTTTGCTCACAAATGGTAAATAATAATTATAAATCAATAAATTTATTAAGATATTAGAAGATAAATGAAATATGTGTTCTCTCGTTACATTTTTATTTAATTTATAATAATTTCTCATAAAATATAGTGAGCATTAATCTATATATATATATATATATATATATATATACGAGTTAGTATTATCTAAATTAACATATATTTGTTTTATTAATTTTGTCAAATTGGTAATTGAAGTTGTCCGTCTCATTTGCAAACCGACAACGTTGCCGGCCATTGACTAATGTCTTTAATTTGCATTAATTACAATTATAATTACATTAATTATTGACCTACTGATTTCCTTCTAAAATTTTGTTTTATATTTATAAAGAGCTTTAAGTATTGATTTTAAACTCTTTTTATTTACAACAAGTTTTTTTTTTTTAAAAAAAATATAATTTAATTTTTAGAAAAATTAAAAAAGTAAATTGAGTTTGTAAATAATTAATTAGTCATTAACATCATAAAATCCCTTTTATTTTAATTATATATATATATATATATGAAAATACTTTCTAATATTTAATGTTAAATAAATATAAAATGTTCAAATTAGTGCGGTACCGAACCACACTTGCATTTATATACCGACGGTCCAAGTGGGTCCCACTGTCTTGACCAGACAGAGACAATATTCAAATGTCAGAATAAAATGATATTTAAAATAATTTAAAATTATACTATTATTATTAAATTAAATTACCGAAGAAAATGTAATTATGATTTAATCTATATATATATATATATATATATATATAGTCCCTGTAATAAATGTATCAGTTAATTTTTTTATCGAAAATTCCAATAAAGCAAAATGTGCGAGCGTAAATATATTTTTAGTAATTTATGGAATAAATAATAATTTTATTTATTTTATTATTTACAAGTAATACATACAATTATGAAATTTATTTTATTATTATATGTATGTACGCAAGCCTTACAAAAGCTCCCATACGTCATCTGTGCGTAGAAAAGTTTAATTTCTGACTTTTTTTTTTTTTTTTTTTTTTAAGGATAATTTTGGACCATCAAAGACTATTTTGTGTCACGGGCAGCCTTGATTTTCTAGATTTGCAAAATCCCAAAAAAGCAATATTATTATCTGGCCACCGCACCATAATTATTTAAAATTAAATATACTTAAAAAAATTGAATTAAGAGTCTTTGTTGATATTAATAGAATTGCATTTATATAATTTTAAAGTCAACACACAAATTATATTAATTATTAACACGTTAATTTTTAATTAATAAATTTAGGGATAAGCAGCTCAAGATTATCCAAAATACTTTCTTAATCCGGCTAATGAAACAAATGCCCGTTCCTCCTCTTAAGTAAATAATATTAAATTTAATCCGTCTAATTATTTTGTTTTTTTTTTATGTCATTATTGTGAGGTTATTAAGTGTTAATTAATCATCCTGTCTTAATTAACTAAATATTTGAGTTAATTATATTTGTTAGGCATACCAATGTGGTCTTAATAATAGATATTAATGATGGTTAGTGAATTAAGAAATTCACAATAAAATATCATTTCAAATAAATTGATTTTATTATAAATTAACAATTATTTATACCATTTAATTTTTTAAATTATATACATATAAACAATATATTTAATTATTGTATTTTTTTTTAACGTCTTCATCTGTCAAAATTATAAAAACTAACATAATTTTGTGTAAACTGTCACAAAAATTTAAGAATTTAAATTAGAAAAGTGTCAAAATCATAATAAATTGTAGTTTACTATAAATTTGTGAACGTACATTTATAAACCCTACCTTCGATTAATTTGCGATAACTTATCACAGTAATTGAAATTATTTATTTGAAGTACAAATATTAAATTCATGAATAATAAATGCCTGTAAATATATGAACATGTGTGTATCGTACTTTTTGTTACATCTAAAAGTGTAAATATAGATATACATAGAGTCCTTTTTGTCACTACCTAAAACACTTTCCACGAAAGTGCTGATTAAATGACAATAATATATATATACATATATAATTAATGACAAACTAAAATTTGGGATGACACTAAACAAAACCTCAAGATAGAAGCAACCAAACGAGATTAAGACAATGTTAATCGAAAATTGGGCGAGTTTATAGATCAATTCAATCGAAAATATGTTGTAATTAATCCCGAACATACTCCTTCTACTATTTTCCATAATTATTAATAATAAATTTAATGTAACATTATAACTAATATCATTATTGATTATAACAGTACATGAAAATTAGTCACAACTACTTATATCATAATCAACTTTCACGAATAGTATAATGAATATACTATAGATATAATAATAATAATAATAATAAATATTGAAGTGAATAAACTAGTTACAAAAAAAAAAAAATCAAACTCCTCTAATATAAAATTTCATAATTATCAAAATATAATAAAACAGATTATCTAATAGCTCACCTTAAAAGTTGTTATATGAATACTTTAAAATCTATTTATAATCAATAACTAATGATACTATGCTTTTAAGATAACATAATATGAGTGAACAAGGTATGGTTATTGACTTTGGAGATAGCTGATGTCGAGATATCGAGAACATGATGACTACATTTTTATGACAGTATAATTATCGCTTTGAATTTATAAGTACTCAAAAAAAATTATAAAAGACAGAGAACAAAGTTTTAAAATTTTCAAAGAATATACTATTGGATGAAGGAATCATTTTTTTGATCTACATATATCACGAGACATATTTCCTACACCTCCCTATTTCATTGTATATTGAATACATCGTATTTATAAATTAATCAACATAATAAATTACTAACATATGATTTTACTTGCAATATAATCAATTACAATTTTTTATTTTTAATTAAATTATTATCGTAAAGTTTTATCTTACGTGACAGTGTTACAATAATTTTTACTTAAAATTCACACTTAAATATTTATAAAATTAACTAGATACTAAACAATATTATTTTAAAAAATCATTTCACATATTGATCAGAAGATTCCGAAAGTAGTCCCTTTACATCATCACAAAAACTTTATGATAAATAAAATATTTAAATAAACAAAAAAACAGCCCGAGAAAAGTAATAGACGCCAAAGGAAAATATGTTAACAAATATAGATGGATATATAATTTTGAATGGATAAACACATAATTGACTAAAAAAACAATATAGGTAATTGTAAAATTTGGTATAAAATTAAATACTGTTTAACATTAAAAAGAAAATTTTGACTTTATGGGAAGACCTTTAAAAAATCAATATATTTATATAAATAAAATTTGAGAATTTTCTTATTTTTTGAAATAAAAATAATATATATACATATATATTATATAAAAAATAAAACTTTAGACATTATCTGCTTGAATTTTAAATAAGAATAAAACTAACGTAATAGTTATAATTATATGTACTTTATACAGATAAAGTTTATCAACTCAAATTTTAAAACATAAAAATAAAAATTAATTTTTAGTTGACTGTAAAATATATACTTTATAATAAATATAAAAATAATTTTAGTTAGGATATATAATGGTAATTTATTTTAAATTTTTTATATAAAAAAGAAATATAATTTTAAATTAATTATAATTTATATATTATATAATTAATTATTACGAATATAAGATTTAAGAGAAATCCTAACAAGGAAAGAACGAGACCAGTGGCTTTAACATCTGCGCCAAAGACAGGTCATGTTCACGCATGGATTGGTGGAACAGATGATCATGAGAACGGAACAAATCCAACGGCTGATATTGATCGCAGTCCTGTTTGAAAGACTTATCTACTCCAGACTCGACTCAGTACACAGAAAAAAATGAAAAGACACACCTTAACACAAATACAAAACGGAAAGCCTTACAGTATATATACACATATATACACATATATGAACGTACATAACGTTGTGCTTAAAGGCGGGACCAACCCGCCATTAATGCAGTTCTGCCCACCTTCCTTCTCCTATCTCTCCCTCTACAGTAGCAGCTAGTTGCTCCTTCTATAAATCAAATAAGCTTTGGCTAGAACCAGGTCAACCCTCTCTCTCTATTGCTATATTTATTAGCTTTTTCTGCAAGGAGACGAACACAGACAAGAAGGAAAGCATCTTCGTCCTCCTTTCCCTGTTTGTCTCTCTCCCTATTCTCTTAGCTTTCTACAACCAGACAAGAAGGAAGCCATCTTTTTGTTCCTTTATCTGTTTCCGAGGAACTCGGTTCTTCGAATTTGGTGCTGGATTCACAGAGGTGGGTAGTGATTTCTTTATGATTTCGTTGGTGGGTTTCTCTTCGTTTTGCTTCTTTCTTCTGCCGCCTCCTCTTCTTGTTCTAAATCTGTAGCTTAAACTTTAATGTTACAGTTGAATTAGAGGAGCTTCGAAAGTTCAGTTTTTGCGCTAAAAAGGACCCGGGTTTCAGTTTCCTCGTAGATCTGCTTTGTACGATTACATTTCATGATTTAGCTTTTTTTTTTTTAATCTTTCTGTAGGAGAACTCAGAGGAGGATAGCATTATCTGAGATTTGATACCATGGGGGTTTGCTTGAGTGCCCGAATCAAAGCTGAGAGCCCTTGTAACACAGGTATTTAGATTTCACAACTTGTTTCCCATGGCTTTTGGGTTCACTTTTTGGGTATTTTGACTTTATTTCTCTGGTTAGAGCATGATCAGAGTTGTGGGTCATTTGGATAATTCGGGCTTGGTGGGTGGGTAGGATGGAGCTGTGTTTTGGGTGTTCAATCCAGCTATTATTAGTTATTATGTTTTATTTGAATTTAAATTTGAATCTTCCTATTCCTTGTTAGATTTAATTTGTTGAGAATATTTATGTTTAATTTTTGATTGATTATTAGCTAAAGTTGGATAGGTCTAGATCTTTTCTTTGTGCTCCTGTTTGGTTGCTGGGAAAATCTTGGAAGATAAAAGGAAAGTTTGAGTCTTTTTTTATTGCTGAAATACTCAATATATGATTGATTGAACCTCTTATCTTTCTCAATTTCAGTCTTTCTTATCTCTCTCCCCAATCACAGAGCATCTCTTCATTGATAATCTCTTATTGATTTAAGAAATATGATTGATTAAACCTGGAAAATTCAATATGCAGATGTATCCGTAGCTCTTGTTTTATGTAGAGATTGTATGTTTGTAGGGGGGAGCTTGAAGTATGTTAGCACCGATGGGACCGAGAGCAGTACAGGTAGCAAGGTCTCGTCGTTTTCGATGCCCATGACTCCTCGTAGTGAGGGTGAGATCTTGCAGTCTACCAATCTGAAGAGCTTCAGTTTTTCCGATCTAAAAATGTCAACCAGGAATTTCCGCCCAGATAGTGTGCTGGGAGAAGGCGGTTTTGGTTCAGTCTTTAAAGGTTGGATTGACGAGCAGTCACTTGCTGCTACCAAGCCCGGAACTGGCATGGTTATTGCTGTGAAGAGGCTTAACCAAGATGGTTTTCAAGGTCACAAAGAATGGCTGGTGAGTTCATTTTCTTCACTTTTGCAAATGTCATCCGCATATATAGAATAAATGCTGATATTTATAATGCTGGTGATTGCTAATATAGAATTAAGGAAGCGGGGGCTTTGCAAAATCACTATCACGGACTTTGTTTGTGTTGAGAAATTGTGTTCAAGTGTTTGGCTTATTGTCTTAGGAAGATTTAGGAAGATTCGGATTGCAAAATCACTACCCTGGTTTCTGTTATCCGTGTAGGCTGAAGTGAATTACCTGGGGCAGCTTTCTCACCCTCATCTTGTAAAGTTGATCGGATACTGCCTTGAGGATGAACAGCGACTTTTGGTGTATGAATTCATGCCTCGAGGCAGCTTGGAGAATCATCTGTTCAGGAGTGAGTTATTTTCCTTTCTATGTCTTGGCACTAGTAAACCAAAATCATATCCCATTTGGTTAACAATTTTTGTGAATAAACTATTTAGATTGTTGTTTTATTAGGGGGTTCGTACTTCCAGCCTCTTTCATGGAGTCTCCGTTTGAAAGTCGCTCTTGGTGCTGCAAAAGGCCTTGCCTTTCTTCACTGTGCTGAGACGAAAGTAATTTACCGGGACTTTAAGACTTCTAACATCCTGCTCGACTCGGTTAGTAAACCTGATTTTTAGCTTTATGGATTCATTTGATTGATTTGGCATATTATCTTTTTTTTTTTTTTTTTTTTCCGGAACATTGGCTAGAATTCGTAAGAACTTTTTGTGATATAAATCACAGAACTACAATGCAAAGCTTTCTGATTTCGGATTGGCAAAGGACGGGCCAACAGGCGATAAAAGTCATGTCTCCACCAGAGTTATGGGAACATATGGATATGCAGCTCCAGAGTACCTAGCCACGGGTACTTGTTGAGCTTTCATATAATTATCTTTTCTTATCGAGTTCTTATAATTTCTGGGTCTCATAGCCCTCTGCAAATTTGCTCTGTAGGACATTTAACTACCAGGAGTGATGTCTATAGTTTTGGAGTCGTTCTGCTGGAAATGTTATCCGGGCGGAGAGCAGTTGACAAAAACCGACCTACAGGAGAACACAATCTAGTTGAATGGGCTAAACCTTACCTGGCCAACAAACGAAAAATCTTCCGCGTCCTAGATAATCGTCTGGAAGGCCAGTATACAATGGAAGGAGCCTTCAAGACAGCTACACTTGCATTAAGATGCATATCCACAGAAGCCAAGTTCCGGCCAACTATGGATGAGATCGTGACAACTTTGGAGCAACTCCAGGACTCTGCAGTAACTGGAGGCGCGGAGAGCAATCAAAGAGTTGAGCCCAGGGCTCGCAGGCACAGCTCGGATGATGCTAGTAACAGAAGGAAAGTTTCTACAGCTTATCCTCGGCCCTCTGCCTCACCTCTTTACGCCTGAAACTGGCCAATCGTACTTGAAAACCTATTTTTCTCTCTATTTTACTACAATGCAAAATGGGTTTGTGAAGAAACAACCAATGTACAGTTTTGTTTTTGCTAATGGATTGAAAAAAAAAAAAAGAAATCCCAGAATTATGTTAACAGAATTTGAAGATGAGATGAGAGGAACGCAGGCATATTTGAAAATGGTGTATGTAAAACTCTTGGATCTACAGCTCGGAAAACAGAAAAACCACTCTTGTGCCGCCATTAGTTTAGTAGTACCTTTCTAGCCTGGCTGCTTGTAATTTACACTTTTTTATTTTATATTTTTGGCAAATATATTTCTTTTTTCGTGGTCTCGTGTTTTTTCTTCTGTTGAAAAGAAGAGATTGAGCTGTCAAAGATTTGTTTGATCTTTGGTCATGAACAACTTGTTTGCTGTGCGGCTTTCCGGCATGTTCTCCTTGTGATGCGTGCTTTGAGAGAAAAAATAAATAAATAAATTCAATAAAATTGTATTTTATATATATATATATATATATATATGTATATGTATATGTATATGTTTGAAGTTAGCTAACGAACACATCATGTATTATTAAATTCATTAAATACAGGTTGTCAAATTATTATAATAAATATAAACTAAAGACAAGTATTGGGATTTGTAATAACTCAATTAACAAAGTCACCATCACTTTAAATTTATTTATTTATTTTCAAACAAATATATCCCATAAATATAAGATATAATAATATTGGGAGGTCCATTTTCCTGTTACACGTGCTTAAAAAACTATTTTAAATAAATTTAATTTATCCTATTATTTATGTGTTCGTACCATTTGTATGTATATAATTATTTTAATCTTTTTTTAAAAAAATATGAGGACATAATAAATATTTAGTTACGAATGGAATTTAATATTTTTAAACAACTTCTGGTAAAATTGAAGTAAGCAGAGGACATTTTAAATTTTAATAATTATAATATAATTTAATCTTTCTTCGTTCACTTAAAATTAAATAAATGTTTAAGTTCTATTTATTTGAAATATAACCTAAAATTTTCTGATTTTTTTTTTTAAAAAAAGGGAGATTAGATTCAAAAGCAAATGCAAGATTTATATAGTCTGACACTATACATGTAAATTAGAGATTTGAAAATGCAGAAGAGAAACCTACATTGCCTCAAATATTCAGGTTCGTTCTTCCTTTGAAACCTATATTTACAACCACCTCCCACAAGAAAACATGGAGAGAGAAGGACAGCTCCAACCGAAACCTCATAATCTTTTTTCTAACTCAAAGCAGTTCTCCGGCGGAAAAACAACGGTAATCAATCATCACCAAGTCCTTACCAACCCAGGAGTCCAACTTCTCCAGTCCAATTTTCCAATGGACTTGTTTCTTAGATTCATCATTTCTCTGATATCCAAAACTCTCTTCAGATAATTATTCCCTTGTTTGTTAGACCCCCCTGCCGTTTCCGCTTCAATTTCTTCATTTATAATTTCTGTTTCACTGTTGGGCTCGGGTGTGGCTTCGTCTTGGGATGAAGACTCACTAATGATGCTTCCTAACATCTCGACAACTTCACTCATTTTCGGACGGGATTTTGGCTGTTTCATCAGACATTTATTGGCCAAGGATGCAAGTTTCTGAGCTGATTGGATGCAATACTGTCCTTCAAGCCGTGGGTCTACAATGAGGTGGAATTTCTTCGAGTCAGATGCATACGGCCTCACCCATTCCAAGAGCTTCTGCTCATTCCGAGGTAGGTTTTGCTCGAGGACTCGTCTTCCTGTGATGATCTCGTATAGGACAACCCCAAAGCTCCAAACATCACTCTTGGCAGTCAGCCTGCCGGTTTGTACATACTCTGGAGCAGCATAACCGACTGTGCCTACAACCTTCGGACAGGAAGAAGGTGAATATCAGGGAAGAGAGAGTGATAAATCTATTCAACAAATAGCAGAATCGAACGACAAATGAATAATCCCTAAGCACCGGAGCATCATTTACTTATTACGAATAAGAGGCTATATGTTCGAAATTTCATCTCAGCATCACAGACATAGCTAGAGTGCTTACTGTTGTCGAAACGTGGTCAGATCCCTCAGGAGGCCCCTGCCTAGCCAATCCAAAGTCCGAGAGCTTTGCATTGAAGTTCTCATCGAGAAGAACGTTTGACGTTTTGAAATCTCGAAATATTAGCTGTACCAATAACACGAACAAGAAACAAGCATAAGGTTGCAGGCATTATCCACTCAACCAATTAATAGTTTTAAGGAGTTAATCCATTCATTGCATACAATTGCATATTAAAAGTTAAGACACCATTTCGTCGTAGAAAAACTTTCAATATTAAAAAAAATGAAAATATAGCATATTTTCAATATTGTTTTCCCAATTCGAAAAATGATTGTGAAAATATAGAATGGGTTTAAAAAGAACAGGATTTATTTTAACAGTCGACATATTTTCACTATCATTTCTCATATGTAAACTTAAACAAATATATATGACTTTCGAAATCAAACTTGAAAATAGTTTCCCATATCTAAGCACGATCTAATACTTTTCCCGAAAATGAGAGTCCTTTAAAATGTTATAAATAAACAAACACATGAAATGAAGTGAACCAATTTGCTAGGAAGCAATAAAAACCACATATCTTCAATATTTGTGCACCATATACAGTAGTTTTTGAGGAAGAAACAAACAAGTAAACCTGAAAATCCATTTCTTCATGCAGGTATGCTAAACCACGAGCCGCATCTTGAGCAATCTTTAATCTTGTCATCCACGGGAGTGGTGTCGGTAATCGAGCCAATAAATGGTTCTCCAAGCTTTTGTTGCGCATAAGCTGGTAAACTAGCAACCTCTGCATCCCTCTCTCATCATCTTCTGCACAATACCCAACTAACTTCACCAGATTGGGATGTTTGACAATGCCCAGAAAGTTCACCTCATTGATCCATTCCTTATGCCCCTGAATACTAGAATGCAAAAAACACAAGAGAAATCCCATAAGATTAATCATCTTAAAGAACAAATTATATAACCCCGAGTATCAAGTCAAGATAAAAGTTGGCACAATAAATATAAGCCATTGCAAAATCTAATTCTTAACAGACGAGGTGGGATTAAAATCATTCCTAATCACCTTAAAAAATGACCAAGTTCTTCACAAAATCATTCTGTTCTATGAGGGAAAATAGAGTTCCCCATTGGCAAACAATGCATAACCTCTAAATCTATATCACGGGTATGGAATTGCAGGGTCAAAATAAAACTCAGATTTGCACATTTGAATTTGGCGCAGAGAATTTAAAGAAAAGAAAGAGCAAAAACCCAAAAAGGATCAAGATGGCAAAGTGCACCTAAAGAAATTTGTGAAGTCACATATATCAGTTAGAAGAGAAGCACAAACAACATAATCAGTAATTAGAAACGAAGGGTCAAGAGGATTCATGCCTGGAAACCGAGGCGATTCAACTGTTTAACGGCTACATCCATCTTCGAATCAGGACACTCGGTTCCATCCTCGTCAACAACGCTGATGACGCCTCTGTACACGCACCCAAACCCTCCTTCGCCGATCAGCAGCGCTCGGCTGAACCCTTTGGTAGCAGATTTGAGCTCCGCGAAGGTAAAAACCCGCAGATCATTTGCCCGGCGCTGATACAGCAACTCGTAGAACCCAACCGAATCGGAGAAGTCCCTGGACTCGGAATCGAACTCTGACCGTCTGGTATCCACGGCGGTGCTAGACGCCACGCTCAGAGACCGAGCCCAAGACACTCTCGACGTCCGGGAAACGACGCCGTCTTCCTCCTCCCCCCTCCTCTCGCCATTCGTGAAATGAAAACACTTCATTTCCAATCAAAAGAACAAAACCGTCTTTGCCTTTGACACCAGATTCTCGTATCCGAGAAAGAGAAGTTACACGGAGAAGGAGTCAATGATGGGAGCATATAAAAAAATGGAGTTCGCGGGTATCAATAAACACGAATTGAAGAACTAAAATAAAGAAAACCCCATAGTTTACTGGTTGATTCGTCGCCTTAAATTGAAGAAGTCGGCATTTTCTCCTCTTCTTTTTTTAATTTTGCAGGGAGGAGACTGGGACCCGTCGTTGTCGTGTTGCAGAGCGGGAGATCACGAGGAGGACGAGACGAGAACCTGATGGAGCGCACTGCGCAGGCCATAGTACAATATAATCCGACAAGGAAGTGGGTCCCGCCAGGTAGCTGAGGGGCTGATGTGGAATTTAAGTTTTTTTTCCGTTTTGGGGCTGAACTGCAAATTATCTTTTTTCGTGGGGGGAAATTTTAAAACAAGGTGTGTTGGAGAAGATTCTCTGCGGCGACGAATCATGGAGGTTCTTGAGACAACGCGTGGGATTCATCCACGTCAGCGAGTTTATAGTGTCAAGAAAAGAGTGCTTGAAAATTAAGGAAAGATGGTGACGATACAAAACGTCAGTATGTTATGTCCGTTTTGACAGACATAGTTCGATTGATTTTCAAAGCTTCTACATTAAATTCCTGATAGGAACGTTTTTCTTTTTCTTTTTTTTTTTTTTTTAAAAAAAAACTTTTTTAACGTTACTAGGAAATTTCCAAATTTTCTATTCTTAAAAGAATCAAAATTCCTAGCTGTTATTTAGAAACTATTGTAATTAAAATTTTAATAATTTAATATATAAATTAATTTAATTATTAAAATAAATAAATTTGTAATTTATGTGTATGAACCATGTTATAAAAATTTAATGAAATGGTCGTTACATTAAACAAAATTTCAAATGAAATTTAAATTAAGTGTATTTACCCGATCTATAACAAAAGATAAAATAAAACAATGTTTAAATAAAGGGTCTCTAATTAATAAAGTTTGAATCCTTTTGAAATTGTAGAACGAAATATTTTAATCCAAATAGATATGACATTTGCGTGCCTAATTTTTTTTTTATTTATTTTAATAAATCAAACATTTGAACAAGTAATTTTTAAAAATTAAATACTTAATTGTGACATTTAAAAGACTAAACACCAAATTGAAAATTAAATAGAAAGTCAATTGTTGTTTTCTCACACAATATATTTTCTTACATGAGTTTCAAACTTACCTAATATGTTTTAAGTACTTTAATTTTCAACCAACAAACAAATATAGAAAAGTATTTCAGATTAATTATAGGTGGGAATCTAAAATTAGGATCAATTTCTCATTTATTAAGTTTTAATAAAATTTGAGTAATTAAATTCTCGTAACATTTTACTTAATATTTTTTGTCCAATTTATACTTAAACAACACTTTTAATTTCATATAATTATTTATTTTATAAAAATAGATATAATATACTAAATTTAATAAATAATTTTATATGTTAGTACATATAAAATTCCAAAGTAGCTTTGAGATCCTTTTATGAATATGATATATCATATACTTTCTCATAGTATAAGAATTGATATAAATGAGATAAAAATTATTTAATTTTTCTGTTGAGAACTACAAATTGGAAAAAAGGAATTAAAAAATAAAATAAAATAATCACTTATTATTATTATTATTTGTATAATTACTTAAATAAAGTAAGTAAATCCTTCTTATTAAATTGATTAATATTAATTTTTATAATTTTTAAACTTAAAATATAAAATATAGGATAAATTATAATACATTTTTAAAGTTTTACAAAAAATCACAAATTAAAATGTTTTTTTTATAATTTTTAAAAGATAAATAGTTAATGTTATATACATTATAGTGATAACAACATAAAATATATATATATAATATTAATGATTTGTTTATCATAATATTAAGTTATTCACGATATGAGCATACGAACGTGTATCTAAGAAACTAACTGCCGAGAGTCCTTTTACTCTTCAACAAATTATACTCTTGAATTTTGAATAACATTAACATATACATATGATAAGTAAATATATATTAGTGTGTACATGTATATATATACCGATATATATGTATATATATCGGTATATATATTATTTTTTATACGACGAAATTCTTCGGACGTCAAGGTTCACGTACTTCAAAGAACGACCTATTTTTAACGACGATATCATACATGTGTAACGCCTTGAAGTTGGCGAAACTTTTCGGCAACGAGATGAGGTGACTCGACGTTTCGGATTTATGAAACTGGATGAGCTGAGTTTGGTTTGAGTTGAAGTAGCGAGTCCACCCGAGTTCACCGAGTCTCTGCTCGAGCTCAGCATAAGACCGGATAACGTGATTCGCCGGAAGATAAACCAGGACCCGGGGCCGAGCCCCAGGAGCCGTGGCTGTTCCGGGGTACGGAGGGTCCGTCTGCTCGAAAGACTCTCGCGTCGGGTTGGCTCGCAACCGAGCTACACCCTTCTTGTCAAATATCCAAACACCAGACATTTTTTTTGTACCCGTGTAAAAGTGATGTGTATGTATAGGTATATGTATAGACTCTGAGAGAGAAGGAAGAGGAGGAGAGATGGTAGTTATAATTAGGGTTGGTGGTGGGTAATGTGTTTTATAGAGGAGATTAAAGAAAACATGTGAATATGGGAAGCTTTTATCAGAGAAGCCATGACTGTTAACAGTCTTCCTTGCTCGCCTTTGAATAAAGTTAATGGTGTGTGTATATATATACACAGTGATCACAGAAATAATTATAGGGTAACGTAGGTTTTTTTTTTTTTTTTCTTCTAATATTTTATGTACGTGCAATCGGCAGTACATAATGCACGTGATCATTGTCTTTTTTTTTTTAATTAGTTAATTAGAAAATGTACTCATTAATTTATAAATGAAAGTTTCAGTTTTATAGGTATAAATAAAAATGTAAAACATGTATATATATTATGATGGATACTATAAATAGTACAAAAATAATAATAAGCTCAAGGTTTATAAAGAATTGGTACCAAAATAAATAGCCGTCGGTCTTGTATATTATTTAGATAAGTTATAACCCGAGTTCATAAAAAATAAGTTAAACCAAATGCACTATCATTTATTTCAAACACATCTTAAGCAACAATCTAATTAAATTATGCTATTAATTCAATTATGTTAGAGCACCATAATTAATTTCAAAAGCATCGCATGTTGATATCAATCATATTATGATAAAATTACCCGATATGAGATTAAGCTTTAGTTTATAAAAATTGATTTGTCTTTTATCGTGTATATATATATATTCATATATAGTGTCTATAAATTATTTAGTTTAGTTACTTTAACATTGTTTCAGGTATTGATTAGGTTTATTTAAACGTATTTATTGGTTAATCGCTTTTTAATCACTCAAATATTGAATTTATATTAATGATTTATTTTTGTTAGAGATGGACTAGTTACCAATATATTTTAAAAAAATTTACTCCAGCATTTATAGGCTTTTTGAATAAATAATTTGTTACAATCTTACTTGAAATTATACATACGGTTACTCTTTGAGTTTTTATATATTTTAAACTAAATTTTCAAAACAATAATTATTTATTTATCTTAAAAAATAATATTTATTAAGAAATTACAACAACTAGTGAAATCATCGTTTTATTAAAAATAAGAAAAAAATGTAATATTAATTTTAATATCAAATATGAAGATTATTACTTTTTATTGTCACAGTAATAATAAAAAAGTTACTACTAATTTAATTTAATTAAATATCAGTTTAATCACAAAAATTATAATTCACTTACAATTCAACATATAATTGAAACATAATGTATTTTGTATTTCATCAAATACTAATATTCATATATTACATCAAGGTATTGTGTTGATATGGTAACAAAATGAGGGTAACAAGAGGGACATTTGCAATGAAGATGAAGACCAAATTGAGCGAAATAATAAAATAATAATTATTTGGCTACTTATAAATATAATTAGAAAGATAATAATAAAATAATTAAAAAATAAAAAAATTTAATAAAACAAATAACAAGTAAGTTTCTAAACTATATAATATATTTTAGAGGCATAGAATTTTATCATCAAACTGAATGGGAGGAACTTAAACTTCAATGTGTTGGTTACTAAGATTAAGACCTAACAAATTCGATTTTATTCAAGTTTTATGGTCTTAGATATTAAAATACATTTTTATTTTTTATGGGTTATTATCACATATTTATAATTCAAATATCCTGAAATTTGTACACAAGATTTAATACTTTATTAAATAAATATATAGTTTTATAAA